GCAATGCAGGCCTCCACGTGCCCCGAAGTGCACGCGAAGCAGACAGAAACGGCCAACCAGCACGAGACCAAGAACGTACGCGGCTACTCACCGAGGATCTCGCTGTACATCATGACCTTCCACGTGTCGACGGGGAGGTCCGCGTCGTTGAACGACCAGTCGAACACCTCCGCCGCCTCGGGCTCGTCCGTCGGGTCGTGGTACGGCGCGACGTACTCGTGTGCGAGCGAGTCCGTCGCCGTGATCCGCTTCCGCGGGTCGAACACGAGCATCTTCTCCAGCAGGTCGATCGCTGGTGGGCAGACGGGTTGTCAGTGGGCGGCGAGGACGCGGAGGAGACACGGCACGCACCGACGGGGTCCTTGCAGGAGAGCTTCTCGCTGAAGGGGACGCGTTCGCGCTTGGGCAGGCTCTGCACGAAGCGGAGGGTGTTCTCGCTCGCGATCGTCTGGATGACGTCCTCTGGCGGGGTGCCGAGCAGCTCGGTGATGATCGAGAACTGGTGCACGTCTGCGTTCACGCTCAGTTAGCGGTAGCCCATCCGGCGACGGTCAGGACGGGGCACGCACGGTCCTTGCCGGGGAAGAGCGGCTTGCCCTCGAGCATCTCGGCGAAGATGCAGCCCGCAGACCAGATGTCGACCGCGACGTCGTACTTCTGCCAGGTGAGCATGATCTCGGGGGCGCGGTAGTAGCGCGTGGAGACGTAGCCGGTCATCTGGGGGTCCTGGATGCGCGCGAGGCCAAAGTCGCAGATCTTGAGATCGCAGTTCTCGTTGATGAGGATGTTGCTCGGTTTCTGGGGAGGGGGTTAGAGGGGCGGAGGAGGCGCGGGAGGGACGCACGAGGTCACGATGTACGACGCCTGCGGAGTGCACGTATTTGAGGCCGCGCTGGGGGGTGGTCAGAGTGTGCGCGGGCGGGCGGTGGAAAGACGTACGAGGATTTGGTAGAGAAAGTACTGGATGAATTGTTTTTCGAGTGGGCGGGAGGTGAGCAGACGGTGGAGATCAGTGCCTAGAAGCTCGGTGACGAAGTAACTGGATGGCCGTCAGCGGGTGTCTAGGACGAAGGGATGGGGCGTACATGTCCTCTAATGGAGAGATGAATACATCTAGCAGACTGATGATCTGCGGAGGGGTGAGCGGGGCGAAAAGGGGGGAGCAGGAGACGGACATTCTCGTGCTGTATGTGCTTGAGGAGCTTGAGCTCGCGGTAGGTGCGTTTGGAGAGGACGGGGGTGCTGAAGGGCTTCATGATCTTCTTGATCGCGACAGACGAGTTTGTGAGCTGGTCCTTTGCCGAACTGGAGACGCGGGTCAGGGTGGGGCGCGTGAGGGGGGAGGAGATACGGACCATACGAGCCCAAAGGCACCTGCGTACTCGGGGTGAGCATAGGATGGACAGGGAGAGGAGGACGGACGCACCCATGCCGACAGGTTGGAGGTCGACATAGCGAGTCGTGACCTGGGGTGAGGAGGGGTGAGCGGGGCAGACGCGGGAGAAAAGGGTTCGGCGCACCTCGAAGGAGGTGCCGAATATGCTGAGCTTGACGAAGGACATGGTGAGCGGAGTGGCGGAGAGGGGAGGAGAGGATGGACGCGGCTCGGTTGTCGCGGTGGTGGCAGTCTCAATACTCGCCGCCCCAGCCCTCCCAAAAGACCCGTGGAGCGGCCCTGCTTATGTCAGCATCCCGTCATGCCTCCATCCTCGCTCTCCACGCCTCCCTCTTCCCACCCCCACTGCCCTCGACCATCTCTCGTCTCTCATTCGATCGAGCCCGCAGCCCTGGTCGCCGCCACCGCCGCGGCCAGCGACGAGCAGCACGGCGAGCACGGGCTGGGCGGGCGATCGATGTATGACGTAGGTCCCTCATCATCCGCTCCGTATTCGACAATGGGCGCCAGTCTGCGCCTTCCTCTTCGCTGTGTTCGACGACGTACACGGGCCACCCTTGCCCTCGATTCCTCGGCTCTCATCCGAGCACTCTCCTCGCGCTCCAAGCAGTCGACTACGGTCGTTGCGCGCCGGGTCGAGCGTCGCAGCTGCCGATGCGGCAGCGATCGGTCCCAATGGCCTAGGCCTGGGCCTCAGCGCTCAGCGTCTGCATCCGATATGTACCAAGCTCATGCGCAACGGCCTATTGTCGTGCTGGTCACTCAGCAGCCCAGCCTTAGTCTCAGATTGAGACTGTCTCGCAGTGCAGCACACGACTCCGAGTCGGCCGACTTCCGCTTAGACCACTGAAACTCTGGTCGGTAGCCTACGTGAAAGACCACACCGCGCGGTCGGGAATGTAGTTCGGTGTGTAACGGCTTCCAGCTATACTCACTACTGTCATTCGGGCCGTGCTTCAGGATCATCTTTCCAATCTTTTGAGTGTTGACTCGCGGTCGGAAGCACAAGAAATGGTGCATACATGCGCCGAAGCCATGGTGGTCGATTCGCAGTCGAGCACCTCGTAAGTCTCCCGTATTGTCCAGTACGCCTACAGAGACCCTCGGCGCAAAATCAATAGACTCCATCACACCGTCCAACTGGCGGCCCATCGGTCACTTCGGATGTCTGAGATTGTGGGTGCGCGACTCGCCACGCCTCGAGGGTTTAACGGACGCAACTCTTACGCCAGCGTGCCGGTAAGTGTTCGTGTGGATCCTTCCAGTTGAGGCGACAGGAGTGACCGGCTATCTTGGACCTCACGAAAGCGTATGGTGTGGCGGTTCACTCCTTCAGATATCGCCTGGCCTCGGTATGGGGGCATGTTCGTGGCGGCTTATTTCGCCACATCATCGGACGTTTCTTGTACCGCCGCTCAAGGTGTACACGCTCTTCTCCAATTCAGATGGTCGCCTGTATAGTGAGTTGTTCTCGCGTAGCACCCTGGCTCCTGACATATCGTCTACTCTGCATGATGTCGGACTAGATCATGTCTTGTTCTGACCACAGCTCGTCCCTGTAAGCCATCATCCCCGGATCACAATCCCCTGGGGGCCTACACCAATGCCGTTTCTCGCTCATCCTTGCTGACACATTTCAGAGCGGTAACGAGCTCCCGCGGCGGCATTCTTACGAGCACACCGGAGCTAAGAATATGTGTCGAAGATCGGTCAACGCGAGCCAGCCGGCGCGGGCAGCCCGGGCCTGTGAGCAGTGTCTACCCTGTTCACGACTGTTCCAGCGATCATGGCGCGTATTGCATACGGGTGGACATATACTAATCCGTATTGAACGAACCGCGTTTTGTCCCGCTCGTCCTGTCTCTGTTGTTACACACGGCATCCGTGTGTGATACAAGATGGAATGATTGGCAGTCACACATGGAGTATCAATCACGTTTACAGTGCCAATTGAGAGACATTTATATTGTACACGTGGAAAATACGAACTCGATGCAGGACACTACTACTCAAGGGGTACTCTCGAAGCGGTAGCCGAGTGCATTGTGGACGGAGCTATGCATCCATTCCTCTTCACGGTAGAACGTGCCACAAATGAACGGTATCATGAGATCCCAGAAGGGCTCCTTCCGCTCCATGACCATCTCCTCGTTCTTCGACTGTTCCTTCATCGCGAGATATTCGAACCACGGCGGGTAGAAGCCCGCCCACGCCCAGTCGACGAGCCAGAGCCTCCCGTCATCGCCGACGATGACATTGCGCATGTTGAGGTCTTGATGACAGAGCACGAGCGAGGACGTCCCCATCACAGCGTCGAACGACACTGGTTGAGGGTGCTTCTTCGCATTCAGGTTCCTGGCTACAACACGCTGCGCGTGGTCGAACCAGGCAGATAACTCTGCGTACGACGCAAAGGGGCCGCGTTCCTCTATGACTTTTCCAAAGACGGGCGACGTGCACTGGAGCGCGTCGTCACCCGACGAGAGCGGGCCTGGAACAGCAGCGCGGGGGTGCCGGATGCCGCGCAGCTGGCGCACATAGTCGCGCAACGTGAATACGACACGAAGCCGCTCTTCGACGGACATTGCAGGCCAGACCGCAGACAGTTGTCGCCCTGGAATGTAATCCATAACAATCCAAGTGAGCGGGCCCTGGTTCATTTCGGTGACGACCCGCCGGACACGCGGGACGGGGATGGTCGTGCGGCGGAAGACGAGGTCGAGAGTCAGCGCCTCGGACGGCTGCGTGGCGTAGTCCTCCGGACAGCCTGAGTACTTCGCGACGGTGGTTTCGTCGACGCGGCTGACGTTGTGGTCGCCGAACGCGATGCGGCGCCCGCGATATGTCTTTCTGCCCTGCGCGATAGCGTGGACGAGCTGCGCGTCCGTCAAGTGGTCGATGCTTGATGGCTATAACGAACTGGAAAGTGAGCCGGATCAGCGGACACTACGTTGAATGAAACTGCGACAAACCGCATAGTCAGACCGAGGTCGACCGTCCGATCCTGAGGATTCCATGACAAGTCGAGCGAAACGTGAAAAACATCCGTGGTGCTGCGTCCGAAACTTACAAGTTCAAGTGGCCACAGTGCCCTTTCGGCGTCTCTTTCGCCCCTTCCCTCGGCACTCATCCGAACACACTCTTGCTCGCGCTCCCATTGCCAAACAGTCGTTGCGCGGCGGGTCGAGCTCGAGCGTCGCAGCTGCCATCGGCGGCAGCAGTGCTAGTGATCATCGGTAAGTACCAATGGTCACCTCTAGGCCCGGTGGGCCTGAGCGCTCAGCGTCTGCATCCGATATGTACCAAGTTGAAGCTCATGCACAACGGCCTATTCCACTACATGCATTCGTACGGAGACCAGACCACTCAATTTCAGCGCGAGGTCTTTCGGCAGCGAGCACACTCTGACCTGCGGCCGGCAGGTTCCTCTCAAGCTGTCGCAGACCCCTCGCAGCAGAATGGTTGACTCTGTCGGTCCAGCCGTACAGATTGTATAGCATGCTACCGCACCCGCCGACCTCCACGCTGTTTGTTCTTACTGATGTTTGTGGGTGTCGGCCCAACCGCTCCTGTACAATGCCTCTCACTTTTGCTCCTCACACAGAACCTCCGTTTTTGCACACACCATGCAGCACCAGCATGATCCAAAGCGGAATTCGAGACGTCCCGCGTCTGACTACGCGGTACGTTCCTTATCCTTCGCCGAATCGCTGCAACTTCACAATCCGGGATGCAGTCGTCAGATATCGATGACTTGACGAATGAACAACTTTTTCAGCTTAATCAGACAGCGCCACGGCTCAGCCAGCAGTCCAATGCTATCGGGGCCGAGTTAATCCGCCGTCTTACTCCTGGAACCGTCAGCAAGGCCGCTCAAGACAAAGAAGCCGTAGGGACTCCCTCCGAGGTTCTGACCCTCGAGCTCGTCTTCCAGCACACCGCCATCCCGGTTCCACGTGTTCGGCGTGTCATCCAAGGCAGAAGCTCGCAGTTCATCGTCATGGACTACATTCCGGGACGTCAGCTATCGCACGTCTGGCCAGAGATGCCGTTGTGGAAGAAACTCCGCGTAGTTTTCACATTACATGACTACGTCCGCCAACTGCGCACCATCCGACGCCCGCGGTCGACCATACCAGGCCCGGTCGCACCGCTCGGTCATCCCGCACGCAAATGCAGCTCGCCGCTGTTTGACACGAAGTACGATTGGAGGGGGCCGTTCGCGTCTCTTGACGAGCTCGCAGCGTTCTTCAACGATCGCTACCGCATCGCGCTCGTCGCCCAGCGCGTCGGCCCAGCGCAAGCCAAAGCGCGCGTGCGCGCGGACCCGTTCGACGACCGGGGGCCACTCGTGCTCACCCATCAAGACATCAACATGCGCAATATCATCGTCGGGGAGGATGGGAGGCTGTGGCTCATTGACTGGGCGTGGGCGGGTTTTTACCCGCGCTGGTTCGAGTACGTGGCGATGAGGATACAGTCTAGCCACGAGGAGACGGTGGTGGACAGGAAGGAGCCGTTGTGGGATTTACTGGTCCCGTTCATTTGCGGACCATATTATCGGCAAGACAAGTGGTTCCGCGGTATGGTAAATGGTATGTGGTATCGTTGAGCAGTTGATCAGTAGCGACAGTACGCATATCTCATCAAAATGGCAGTATACGGGGTTGGCGCTTATCTTTTCGAGTGCATTTTCGGTGAACCAGAAGTAAGCCGGGGTTGTGGATTCAGTGGTGCTGTAACACAAGTAGAGGGAGCGGCGAACACGGCAGAACTCATAGCTTCCTGTGAAACCGATAATATCATGCTGCATACATGCGACGCATCCACCGCTCCTCCGGGTAATACGGACGGCAGATGAACGGGACCATCAAAGTCCAGAAGGGCTCCTTGCGATTCATCAGCCGTTCCTCGTGGGCCGTCTGCACTTTCATGGCGAGGTACTCGAACCACGGCGGGTAGAATCCGGCCCACGCCCAGTCGACGAGCCACAGCCGGCCGTCGTCGCCGACGATGATGTTGCGCATGTTGAGGTCTTGGTGGCAGAGCGTGAGGGCTGAGGAAGCCGCGACAGTATCGAACGGCTCAAAGTGAATGTGTTCCCACCCAGGCTGCGCCTCCTTGATCTCGAGCGTAAGGCGTTGCGCCTTGTCGAACCACGCAGACAGCTCGTCGTACGAGGTAAACGGGCCTCGTCTGTCTATTGCGGGGCCAAACACAGGCGAGGCGCATTGACGAGCCTGGCTGCCCGGAGCGACTGGGCCTGGCACAACGGAGCGGGGGTGGCGGATGGTTCGCAGCTGAATGAGGGTGCTTCCTTCAACCGGGTTGCTTCTTGGAAGGTCCTTGCGGTAGTGGTGCCAGTGCTAGTCAGTGTCGTTACGTGTGCGGCGAGTGTGTTTGACTCAACACTAAATCAGGCCACGTTCAAGATCGGATTTGGAGTTATGTCCGGGTCACGGCTGCCAGAGGCGCACCCTCGTGTGGCCACAATGACCTAGCAGACCACCGTCCTGCGCTGACTCGGCGCCGGCACAGGGAAGCGCATTATAGCGAAACGACAGCATCATCATGATCATTGATCGTTGTTTATCCGGATAACATCGTGCACGAGAACGGGACCGCAACACCGCTCGCACTACTAGTACATTGCATTATGGACTCGGCGAAGAAAGTGGTTCTCAGCTTGAGGCTGCTCAACAATACATCAGTCATTACGGACGAATGCATGGCTGATTTCAACTACCTGAAGAAGATGCTCCCTCGATCTCATAGAATGTGCCTTGGTCATAAGGAACCCAGCATGTAGGGTTCTCTCGCACTCTATCGAACTCTTTCTTGCACGACGCTCCGGAACCCTCGACTATGAAACCATCTGCTTCGAGTGCCGAGATCACAGTCCACGTCCAGAAGCCGCATCCGCTTCCGTTTTCGTCGTATCTGTAGCGATGGAAGCGCTTTTCTTGCAGCCAGTTGTAGATGTCAGTAGTCGTAAACGTTTTCACAGGATTGAAGTACATCAGTCCGGGAGCGTTTGACGATATCAGAAACTTCTTCGTCACCATCCTAGACCATGCCAGTTATATGACATCAATCGCCGGATGCATCACAGAAGCGGACCACTCACTCAATGGTGACATCGGGGTTTTTCTCATCGGATTTGAATGTATCGAGGGTCACCGAACGCCAACCAGTGGTGGCAGTGTTCTCATCGTCGGGTTGTATAATCGAGTATGCTAGGCCACAGCGCCTACGTGAAAATTCTATGAGGGATGATGAATTTTGAGCGAGTGGAGGCGTACCAATGAACGAGTTTCTGCTTTTGATTATCGGGATTCCCCTTTCGCATCTTCGCTCCAGTGATAGTGACGATCCTCACGACCTGGTCTCTGTCCTCTTCTTCCCATTCGTCGATCTTGATCTCATTTTCTGTCGGGATGGTCTGAAATCACTTCAGTAATGTTCACAGTGCAGGAGAGGAACACCAGCATACAGTCATTTTGCCTAGCCAGTTGCTGAATCCAAGAGAAATGCTTGTGGTGTTGGGATGTAGGAGCACCCATCCGGCTCCCGAGTATTTAAATCCCCTACGCACTGTGCTCGACACAAGGCGTTATTGTCAGTGACATGTATCATACACTTGTGTAGACGTGCTCACCTATCTTCCGCGACACTTGGCTGGAACTGTCCACCTGAAAGTACAATAACTCCAGGTTGCATCAATATGGACTGCGAACGAGTTCAACAGCACACGAAAACACGCCGCCACATCCACCTACGTTGACAGAGTAATTATCACAAAAGAGACTGATGTGTCGCAACTACCAGTGCCCGTCAACCTCTGCCGATAACACGATGCCACAATTTCAATCACACTCACTAATCAACACCCATATCGTGTGCATGTCCGAGTCAAACGAGCCCCTTGATAGGTATAGGCCATGATTTTCCCGCACTTGAAGTAGCAAGATTGCGATACCGGAGACAGAAGTGTCCTCTTGTACCGGATGTTTCAAGTTCGTGGAAAATTCTGAGTCCGAACAAACAACTTGACGGCCAAGAAAGAGGCTCTTCATCGTCACAGCAGCGAAAAAACCTGGCTGTGCCAAGTTCGTCCAGCACATGAAGCTGCATTTGTTGACGAGAAGACGTCAGTACACACTACCCAAAGAAGAGCATGAAGTGGCGTATCTTAGGTTGACTGACAAATTGAAACAGAGTCAATCACACAAGCCAAACTAGGGTCGATTACAGCTACTTAGGTCCACATTGTTAGACCCCGCACAAAAAGTGTGTATAGAAGCGGAGGTCGTCGGACGTTGGCATGCAGTGATTTGGGTACTTTGCCGCTCAGCCTTGGCTCGACTCGGACCTGGGACGCCATAGCCAAGGTCGCGGCTCCGAGTCCCTGGCTCAGCCTGGCCGTCGAAGTCCGCTGTGTTCGGCGTGATCCCATATCGGACCCGCTGGCCTCCGCCTAAGTTATGTGTGTTTGAAGGGCGCGGGGCCCAACAATACGGACGTAGCTGCGAGACGCGGCGCTAGGAAAACGTGACATTAATCAGATATGTAACTTAAGGTGGCGTCCACGGCTCAAGCGCTCAAGGCTAGGAGGCAGTAAGCTTATAAGTCGATAGCTATGGCTTGGCTATGGCTCCTCCAATCTCCACCGACCTCGCCCTCCACGTGCGCCCAAACCACTTAATAGGGCCTTTCATACGCGACACCACGGACATTTTCATCACGTTCATTCGCTCGGCATCTCATGGATTCCTCAGGATCGGACGGTCGACCTAGGTCTGACTATGCGGTCTGTCACGGTTCCATTCAACGTAGTGTCCGTTCATCCAGCTCACTTTCAAGTTCGTTGTAGCCATCAAGCATCGATCACTTGACGGATGCGCAGCTCGTTCAAGCTATCGTGCAGGGCAGAAAGACATATCGCGGGCGCCGCATCGCGTTCGGCGATCACAACATCTGCCGCGTCGACGAAACCACCGTTGCGAAGTACTCAGGCTGTCCGGAGGACTACATCACGCAGCCATCCGAGGCGTTGACTCTCGACCTCGTCTTCCGCTGCACGACTATCCCGGTCCCGCGTGTCCGGCGGGTCGTCAACGAAACGGAGGGCCGGAGCACGCTCACTTGGATTGTTATGGATTACATTCCAGGGCGACAGCTCTCTGTGGTCTGGCCGACAATGTCCGTCGAAGAGCGGCTTTGTGTCGTATTCACGTTGCGCGACTATGTACGCCAACTGAGGGGCATCCGTCATCCCCGCGCCGCTGTTCCAGGCCCAGTCTCGTCGGGTAACGACGCGCTTCGGTGTACATCGCCCGTTTTTGGAAAAGTCATAGAGCAACGCGGCCCTTTTGCGTCCTACGCAGAGTTGTCTGCCTGGTTCGACCACGCGCAGCGTGTTGTAACCAGGAACCTGAATGCGAAGAAGCACCCTCAACCAGTGTCGTTCGACGCTATGATGGGGACGTCCTCGCTCGTGCTCTGTCATCAAGACCTCAACATGCGCAATATCATCGTCGGCGATGACGGGAGGCTTTGGCTTGTTGACTGGGCATGGGCGGGCTTCTATCCGCCGTGGTTCGAATATATCGCGATGAAGGAACAGTCGGAAAACGAGGAGACGGTTACGGGTCGGAATGAGCCTTTCTGGGATCTCATGATACCGTTCATCTGTGGCACGTTCTACCGTGAAGAGGAATGGATGAATCGCTCCGTCAACGATGCACTCGACTACCGCTTCGAGAGCACCCCTTGAGTAGTAGTGCATCGAGTCAGCGTTTTCCATGCGTACGATAGAAATCTATCTGAGAGGCACTGTAAATGGGATTGATACTACCCATTGTGCCATTGTTCGCGCAGCCAAACGAGTCTCAGCGTCGCCGTTGTTATATCCTGTTTATTGTTATCTAAGGGTGAAGCCCTAGTATGCAGACGTTGGCTATTCTATCTATGCTGTGTTAGGATCAAGGTGGAGGTGTCTGGCTTACCAGTGGCTCGGTGCACTTCCACAGAGGTGACTCCGCCGGGGGATTCAGGTTGGATATCCGAGTCGTAAGGGCCTATTATGGATGTACAGAGGAGTTCGGGGAGTTCGTCTGGCCGACTCTGGCAGGCTTCTTTCGGCCACTTGAGTTACTTAATCTTGACGACAATGAAGCGCGTACATCTCGCCGTGCAGGAGCATAACCTAGCACAACGCGTCGCGTTCGGTGCGCGAAGGGTAGGCGGGACGCGATCTGGGATCGCTGACTCAGCGTCGGGCAGCCGAGATCGCATGATCGCTAGTCTCGGAACCAGCCGCTCGGAGGTGAGCGGAGAGCTAAAAGCCCACTTACGGAGGTGTCTCTGGTGTGGGTTTTTCGCTCTCCGCTTACCTCCGAGCGGCTAGTTCCCAGACTAAGGATCGTGATATCTGAGATCTGAATCCCGGCGATTCAGGGATTTACTCGGCACGCGTAAAGTTCGGAGAAAGAAAAGAACTTATGTAATCACCCAGCGGGTTTGCAGGGCACATTCAGACTCCGCAGTGGCGCGGGCTCCCGTACGCGCACAAGTCGCGTCGCGCCGCTCAGGGCCACCGCAGGCCACCACTGTATGCAACCCACAAACATACCGCGGGCGCTGGCACAGCGACGAGCGGATGGCTGGGAAGGGTGAGCAGCATGGCCGGGGTAGGCGAGGGTGAGTATCCACGGGTGCGCAGACGCGAGCGACCCCACTAACGCAAACACAGGACGCGGAAACGGGCAGCACGACGCGCACGACGACCCCGAAAACGTAGGCCGAGTGCGAGCGGAATTTCAATGCAATTCGTTCACTGACAGCAGCCGCGCATGTTATGAGAGTTCTTCACAGAGCACCAGGAGTAAATCACCATATTACCGCAGCACCACGTAGGTCGTAACCCGAATGCGACGCGTTAATCGACCCTAGTTTGGCTTGTGTGATTGACTCTGTTTCAATTTGTCAGTCAACCTAAGATACGCCACTTCATGCTCTTCTTTGGGTAGTGTGTACTGACGTCTTCTCGTCAACAAATGCAGCTTCATGTGCTGGACGAACTTGGCACAGCCAGGTTTTTTCGCTGCTGTGACGATGAAGAGCCTCTTTCTTGGCCGTCAAGTTGTTTGTTCGGACTCAGAATTTTCCACGAACTTGAAACATCCGGTACAAGAGGACACTTCTGTCTCCGGTATCGCAATCTTGCTACTTCAAGTGCGGGAAAATCATGGCCTATACCTATCAAGGGGCTCGTTTGACTCGGACATGCACACGATATGGGTGTTGATTAGTGAGTGTGATTGAAATTGTGGCATCGTGTTATCGGCAGAGGTTGACGGGCACTGGTAGTTGCGACACATCAGTCTCTTTTGTGATAATTACTCTGTCAACGTAGGTGGATGTGGCGGCGTGTTTTCGTGTGCTGTTGAACTCGTTCGCAGTCCATATTGATGCAACCTGGAGTTATTGTACTTTCAGGTGGACAGTTCCAGCCAAGTGTCGCGGAAGATAGGTGAGCACGTCTACACAAGTGTATGATACATGTCACTGACAATAACGCCTTGTGTCGAGCACAGTGCGTAGGGGATTTAAATACTCGGGAGCCGGATGGGTGCTCCTACATCCCAACACCACAAGCATTTCTCTTGGATTCAGCAACTGGCTAGGCAAAATGACTGTATGCTGGTGTTCCTCTCCTGCACTGTGAACATTACTGAAGTGATTTCAGACCATCCCGACAGAAAATGAGATCAAGATCGACGAATGGGAAGAAGAGGACAGAGACCAGGTCGTGAGGATCGTCACTATCACTGGAGCGAAGATGCGAAAGGGGAATCCCGATAATCAAAAGCAGAAACTCGTTCATTGGTACGCCTCCACTCGCTCAAAATTCATCATCCCTCATAGAATTTTCACGTAGGCGCTGTGGCCTAGCATACTCGATTATACAACCCGACGATGAGAACACTGCCACCACTGGTTGGCGTTCGGTGACCCTCGATACATTCAAATCCGATGAGAAAAACCCCGATGTCACCATTGAGTGAGTGGTCCGCTTCTGTGATGCATCCGGCGATTGATGTCATATAACTGGCATGGTCTAGGATGGTGACGAAGAAGTTTCTGATATCGTCAAACGCTCCCGGACTGATGTACTTCAATCCTGTGAAAACGTTTACGACTACTGACATCTACAACTGGCTGCAAGAAAAGCGCTTCCATCGCTACAGATACGACGAAAACGGAAGCGGATGCGGCTTCTGGACGTGGACTGTGATCTCGGCACTCGAAGCAGATGGTTTCATAGTCGAGGGTTCCGGAGCGTCGTGCAAGAAAGAGTTCGATAGAGTGCGAGAGAACCCTACATGCTGGGTTCCTTATGACCAAGGCACATTCTATGAGATCGAGGGAGCATCTTCTTCAGGTAGTTGAAATCAGCCATGCATTCGTCCGTAATGACTGATGTATTGTTGAGCAGCCTCAAGCTGAGAACCACTTTCTTCGCCGAGTCCATAATGCAATGTACTAGTAGTGCGAGCGGTGTTGCGGTCCCGTTCTCGTGCACGATGTTATCCGGATAAACAACGATCAATGATCATGATGATGCTGTCGTTTCGCTATAATGCGCTTCCCTGTGCCGGCGCCGAGTCAGCGCAGGACGGTGGTCTGCTAGGTCATTGTGGCCACACGAGGGTGCGCCTCTGGCAGCCGTGACCCGGACATAACTCCAGATCCGATCTTGAACGTGGCCTGATTTAGTGTTGAGTCAAACACACTCGCCGCACACGTAACGACACTGACTAGCACTGGCACCCCCGCAAAACTACTCCCATATCCAGTGGCTGCCACTGGCATGCCATCAGCCTGAGAACGTGTCTGACTATAAGGTACGTCGCGGATAAATTACTGAAACAGTTCCCCGAACCGAATGTACGGTGCCGTGACGCAGCGGCGGTCAGATGTAGACGGCTCAAGTGACGAACGAACCCTCCAGCGGGATTCGGCGAACGACCCTTCCGAGTCCATCAGTACTTCGGGAGTCTGAGTGCGCAGTACTGCGGCGTTCTGAACTCGATTCGATTGTAGTGCCGAAGAAATCTGTCACACCACTCTTGGTATCATAATAAGGACGCTGAAAACAGAACTCGAAGAGGATATACATCTATCGTCTCCGAGTCGAAGTCCTAACTCTTGAACTTGTCTTCCGACTCATCGCCATCCCCGTCAGCACGGACTCGGAGGCACAAACACCATCATCATGGACTACGTCCTAGGACGCCGGCTGTCGCACGTCTGGCACAAGATTATAATGGTTGTCCCTACTCAATAGCAGATATGCTCCCTTCGCCGCACACTGGCATGAGCGTACTAGGCTTGTGCCAGAGCCATCGATAGCGACTCCATTTTTCAGTCTTGAATCACATAATCTGACCCGAATGTAGAACCTTGTACACTAGCCATTATGAAAACATTATCGGGACCAATCATACAAGAAGTTGTAGTACCATGAGAGGGAATGGTGAGTGCTACTGACAGTATTAGTAGGCTGCTAGGCGTGCAGCAGGTCAAAAGTTATGGGCGCCGGTCAAAACGATATAGATATGCCGCATACACGCGATGCATCCACCGCTCCTCCCGATAATACGGACGGCAAATATACGGGACCATCAAAGTCCAGAAGGGCTCCTTGCGATTCATCAGCCGTTCCTCGTGGGCCGTCTGCACTTTCATGGCGAGGTACTCGAACCACGGCGGGTAGAACCTGGCCCACGCCCAGTCGACGAGCCACAGCCGGCCGTCGTCGTTGACGACGATGATATTGCGCATGTTGAGGTCTTGGTGGCAGAGCGTCAGGGCCGAAGGGGTCGCGACAGTATCGAACGGCTCAAAGGAATCTTGTTCCCATTCAGGCTGCGCCTCCTTGATCCTGAGCGTAAGGCGTTGCGCCTTGTCGAACCACGCAGACAGCTCGTCGTACGAGGTAAACGGGCCTCGTCTGTCTATTGCGGGGCCAAACACAGGCGAGACGCATTGACGAGCCTGGCTGCCCGGAGCGATTGGGCCTGGTACGGCGGAGCGGGGGTGGCGAAGGGCTTGCAGCTGGCGCACGTACTCGCGTAGAGTGAACACGACACGGAGTTGCTCCTCGAGAGTCATTGTTGGCCAGACAACGGACAATTGTCGTCCGGGTATGTAGTCCATGCATATGTGAGTGAGCTCGAAGCCTGGGGCAGGACTCTCCTTGATGATGCGCCGGACGCGGGGGACAGGTATTTCTGTGTGGTGGAACACAAGATCGAGGGCGAGGGCTTCGGAAGACTGCTCCTCCGAGTCGACAACCTTAGCTACGATATCGTGGGCGATGCGGATGACATGATCATCGTCAACGATGGGTTCAGGAAACCTCTCTCGTGCATGTATCACGAGGTCCAAAATCTCTTCGTCTCGCAGATGGTCAATGCTGGAGGCCTGGAAGTAAAATCAACTGGAGTTCTAGTGAAGGTGCCGCGACATACGAACCTCATAATCTGATCTCGGGCGCATCATAGTACTGGATGAATGTCAGGGGGCACGAGAGAGAAGAGATCCTACACAGTTGGTCAGTTGCTTCCATGACCGTCGATTCGTCATACTAGTTAGGAGCCATGTAAGGTCTTACGACTCAACGATCGATTACATAATCGAGTCTGTTGTGTACGCAATAATGAGGCGCGTTTGTCCGCGCTAGTACGCCATGCCATCATGATGAGCCTGAGACCCCATACTTAACCTGTTGTACAAGTACGATAGTCTTCAGCCAAATTTCTGCTGTCGCGTTCGAATTTGTAAAGAAACGCAGGCATGACCTTCTGCAACCACCGCTCCTCCCGATAATATGGACGGCAGATGAATGGGATCATTAGATCCCAGAAGGGCTCCTTTCGATGCATCACCGACTCCTCGTTCTCCGATTGTTCCTTCATGGAGATGTATTCAAACCAGGGTGGATAGAAGCCCGCCCATGCCCAATCGACCAGCCATAGCCGGCCGTCATCGCCAACGATGATGTTACGCATGTTGAGGTCCTGATGGCATAGCACGAATGGCGACGAGCCCATGATCGTGTCGAATGGTTCGAATCGCAAGTCTGACGTGGTCCATCTCGGTTTCTTCTTCAGCAGGTCGATGCCGACGCGCTGAGCCCGATCGCACCAGATGGAGAAGTCGCGGTAAGAGGTGAATGGACCACGGCGTTCTATGAGTTGACCCCACACCGGTGACTCGCAAGTGCGAGCCTCGTCGCCTGGTGCTACCGGGCCTGGCACCGCCGAGCGGGGGTGGCGAACTGCCTGCAGTTGGCGCACGTAATCGCGGAGGGTGAACACAACACAGAGGCGTTCCTCGAGGGACATGGTAGGCCAGACGACGGACAACTGTCGTCCAGGAATGTAGTCCATGAGGATTAAAGTTATGCCAATAGGATCCCTGATTATGCGTCTGACGCGCGGAACCGGTATCGTCGTGTGGCGAAAGACGAGGTCGAGTGTCAAAGCCTCGGACGGCTCTGCGACATCCTCCTCCACATCTTGACCAAACTTTGACACGATGGTATCAGTGACACGTGTTATGTGGTGATCACCGAAGGCAATCCGCTCTGGGTACTTCTGCGCTGAACAACCTATAAGGTCTTCAATTTCCTCGTCCGTCAAGTCATCGATCTCAGAAGGCTGTCGAGGATTTCAGTGACAGATTCTGTATTTGATCATGGCACCCACGAACCGCGTAGTCGGACTTGGGACGGCCTGCCGAGCCTGGCGAAAGACTAACCATCTCGTACCAGAGACCAAAGGAGCTGGAGTACTAACAGTTTCCAAAGCGATCGAGTGTATTCCACTGTGTTTCAGACAGATGGTGGCAACGTACAGCTTGAGGGTCAGGAGCCTGGCGCCTTATGACTACTAGCGGCCCGGCAGGCGATGGAAGTGTGTCCATGTTTCACATGGTGTGCGCAACGCACTAGCTTCCCTGAGGCTTGCAAAACGGCGAACGCCGTCGAAACATATCTCATCGTCGATCAACGCACACCTACTACTCGCCCTTCCACTCGTCAAGCGAGATACACTCCGCATGCATCAAGCTCGCGAACTGCGCTGGGAACCGCTCCCCCTGCACGTCAGCAGCCTCCACAGCCGTCCTCAGAGCCTTCACGTCCTCCAGACTCAGCGTGATCTCAGCCGCCTTCGCGTTCTCCTCGAGCCGCTCCACCGTGCGGGTCCCTGGGATCGGCACAAAGTCCGGGTGCTCAGCAAGGATCCACGCGAGCGCGATTTGGCCAGGCGTGACGCTGTACTTGGACGCGATCGCGCGGAACTCGTCGACGACTCCGAGATTCTTGGGGAAGTTCTCGTCCGCGAAGCGTGGCATCATCTGGCGGATGTCTGCGGGCTCGAACTCCGCCCGCGATTTGAAACTGGCTCCGTCGCCCGCGGTAAGCTCGTGTTATGAATCAAAAAAACTTGAAGGAAATGACTGACCGGCCGGTGATCATGCCTCTCCCAAGAGGGGAGTAAGCCACGACGGCCACACCCAGCTCGCGAGCGGCAGCGACGAAGCCGGACTTCTCAATGCCAACCTCGAACGGGCTGAACTCCATCTGGCACGCGACAAGCTTCTCGCCGGCAAAAGGCACCGCCTTGGCCCGCCGCAAGACGTCGATGCTGCACTCGCTCAGCCCGATGTACTTGATCTTACCGCTCTTGACGAGCTCGCCCAAGGTCTCCATCACAACTGCGTCGTTCGTGATCAACGCCGGTACGTGGGAGTGGTCTGGACCAACTAACCTTCGATCGGGACCTCGGGGTCGACGCGGTGCTGGTAGTACAAGTCGACCCACTCCGTCTGCAGCTTCTTCAGCGAGGCTTCGAGTTGCTGCCGGATGTATGCGGGCTTGCTGTTCTGCTTGTATATCTGTTTCGCGACCAGATTTATGTCCACCGATCCGAACTTGGTCGCCAGGAAGACCTCCGAACGCCGGCCCGTCGTGGAGAACCACTTGCCGATAGTCTCCTCGCCTGCAGACAAGAGCTCAGTGACCGCCATCTCTTGGGGTGTATACTGATTTACGCACTGGATCCGTAGACGTCAGACGTGTCCCAAAAGGTAACACCACGATCAGCCGCATAGGTGAGGGTCTTGAACACTTCCTCGCTGTCCGTCTGACCGTAGTATGTGCCAACACCTGGACGTCGACATCAGCCCATTGCATGAGGTGCAAACCGTCACAATGCCTCACCCATGGCTCCGAATCCTATTGCGCTGACGGCGGGTCCATTCGCACCGAGCTTTCGGGTCAGGTACGTCTTCGCGGCCATCGTATACTGTAGCTGGGTGTAGGTCGAAATCAGCGGTGAGGAGATGTTGACTCCTGGCCCCATATGCACACTACTTATATACCTGCAGACATGGAGATCCAGTACAGGCTCCGGTTTGGCCGGCAGTGGGGACTACGTCTCGCGCGCTTCCGAGGGCGTTCTGCCGGACGGTCAACGTATGTACGTTCGGCAGCAACTTCTTGCTCGGGCGGCCTCAGGCCGCCCGTAGAATACATACTTTTCGGAAACATCGATTCTGCGCAACGGTGGAGAAGACAATGGTACATCGGTCAGCAAGTGGGTTCGCAATTCCTGACCTTTGCAGCCCGGGATGTAGAGAAGTGTTGAAATACGCCCTTACGAGACGTAACATACTGGATCACCCTGCCATGCCATTCAACCTGCGGCGCGCCACGGATTGACACGACTGCGCACCATGTACATAGCTTCCCGGAATCACCGAAGTAGAAAGTAACGATCCGGCTGACATTTGAGCGCCCTGTACTCTAGCGCACCGGGCTGGAGGCGGTAACGCTAATAGCTTCTGCCCCATGAGCGTAGCATACTTCAAACAAGACTCAACAGGTAGCACCGCTTCCCCGTCGTCCACAATCCAGCACCGACGATCCGGCGCCCATGTATCCTGATCAACGGCGTGCGGAGAGTTTGGTCGACTGACGTTACCGAGGAAATCGTCAAATGACACTCACTTGACAAGGTCTCCCTTGGGCACGGTGCGGGTGAAGTTGCTTCTCCTGCAAGTGCTGCGAATCTGGAGGCCGGACTGATCGATATTTGAGCCGTCGAGCGAAGTAAGTAGCCGCGAAAATTCGCTCACTGTCTCAGGCTCCTTCAAGTTGTCTACGATTTTCCATGGCTGGCGGCGGACCTCCTCGTCGATGTCCTGAAGTGTACATTGCACCATCTCACGCCTGCTCAGATACACAAGATCTCCTTTCTGGACAAGAAGGAGGGCCGAAGAAGTCAGATATCAACTCCCGGCAGCTGGCTCCAGTCGTGCTCACCGCAAACTCGGTCTTAGGCATGTAGATATTGTGCGGTGTACTTGAGAACTAGGCTGATACACGTCTTCTACCGCGGCCTCATACTTATACTATACGATACATATCGTCCCCAGTACCCGTGGCGCTGCCAGTGGCCTACAGTGCCAGTGTCTCGGTGGAAAATCGCTTGTGGGTGGAAACTTGAAGACCGCCGTCGCCCACCTGACCGCTGCCAGGGTGTGTTTCGAGAGCGATGCATGTACCACCAGCGCGGTAAGCTCCCGGAGATCCTGGACCTCATACCTGTGCATGCAAGCACTGTGTCCTGTGTATTTTCCACTACTGACCCCTTCCCAATCGGGCGAGGCGGCACGGTCACGTGTCACGTGTTTGGACGACGAGTCGACGGTGACCGTGACACTGACAGCATCTACTTACGTCTCCTCTTCCTCCTCCCCATAGCTATGCAGCGCTGTCGACGCCAGAGACTCTCGAGCGACGAGGACGACTGGACGACCAGCCACTCACGCGCAGCACGGCCCGTTTGAGCAAGTGGCGGGACTGGAGGATGACGATGACGGGCAGGGCGTGGCAGGTGGCTCTGGCGCAGGAGCCGCCTGTCTGCCCGATCCCCCCGCTGCGTCCCTACGTCACCGACGCCTCACCGTGGTGCGCCGGGCCCAGCGCGCGCGAGGGTATATATAAGGGCGGGCGCAGAGGTGAGTCGCCGCCCAACAGACTCACGACCCGCACGGCTCACGACTTATAAACGCACCAGTAACTAACGAACAACTATGGACAAGGCCTCTTCTGTACTCGCTGCCCTCAACGCCGGCAAGATCCCCTCTTCCGCGCAGCTCGCCACCTGGGTCGACGCTGCCCTCGACTCCGCCGTCCTCCGCGCAGACCCCTCCGCCGACGGCGGCTCGGAGCTCAGCCAGCAAGGCAAGGCCCTCCAGAACGGCCTCCGCGACGTTCTCGTCGCCTGGAAGCAGCTTGGAGAGAGCAAGAACGGTGGGTAGCTCGTCATTTCTCATCTACGTTTCATACTCATACTTCGTGCCAGGCGACAACCTCCTGCAAGAATCCCTCTGGCACCTCTCCGCCGCCGACCTCTCCTCCACCACCGCCAACGTCGACGTCGACACCGACCAGGCTCACCGCGACGCCCGCAACCTCGCCCGTGCCCTCCGCACGCTCGTCTCCGTCGTCGGCGAGAACATCGCCCAGGAGGGACGCAGCGTCTTCCACGACTTTGCGTCCTTCAGCCGCCTCGCCCTTGCGGACGCCGCAGAGTACGTTGCTGACGGTGCGCACAAGACTGCCGAAGGGCTGCGCGAGCTCGACAGCCAGGTCGACGCGGGCGAGCGGAACGAGGTCGGGGTGCGGAAGCGCAAGGCCGACGAGGTGGAGGAGGAAGACCAGGATGCGCGCGCAAAGTTCGAGCGCGGGATGGACAAGACGAAGGTGGTGGGGGGGAAGGCGATCGGTGCGGGCCAGGCAGCGGTTGATACCGCCGAGGACGTCGCGAACCGCACGACGACGCGTCTGGAGGATGCGTTCAACAAGGTGCGCCTTTTTCACTCCATCGTTCGGACGAAGAACTCACCTCTCCCCAGATCTGCGACCGTGCGCAAGAGGACGAGCAGTACCACTCTGCCGTCTCCACGCTCTTCGACGTCGCCCACAAGTGGATCCACCGCAGCCTCGACAGCGCGGGCGACGTCAACCGGGACACGTCCCTCGAGGCGTTTATCAACGACCCGACGCCAGAGCAGCACCTCCTCCAGGGCATCCGCGGGCTGCGCGCAGTGCTCGAGCGGCTCGCGGGCGGGAAGAGCCTCGACGGCCTCTTCGGCGCGGTCCGCGTGTGCGGCGTCGACGTGCAGCAGGACGAGAGCATCCGCTCGTGGTGCGACTCCGCGCTCGAGCACGCGCGCAAGTGCGTCGATGAGCAGGGTACGTGCGGAGCGAGGAGGCGAAGGAGCGGGGCGAGGCGCTGCGGAGGAGGGGCGCGAGCTCGCGGACAAGGACTCGAGAGGGACGGAAGTGGAAGGAGACGTGGGGGAGTCCGGCGCGAGGCGGCGGAGTTTGAGCAGGCGATGGAGCGGGACGAGGAGCTGCGCAAGGTCAGGACGGCTCACCGAAGCTCGGGACGACATCGAGGAAGCCTCGTCGTGCGGGCAGCGCGGGCTTGCAGACACTCATGGAGAAGGCGCCGTGGTTTGGCAGGACCTGTTCAACTTCTACCTGCCCAAGGCCGTCGGGATGCTCAAGGACATCCCGATCCGAGGTAAGTCTGCTGCGGAAGCTTAGAAACCCTCACTTCAATGCAGGACGGAATACAAGGACAGCGAGGTCGAGTTCGTGCTCGAGGACCTCGACATATCAAGCTTCGGCCTGCTGCCCGGGCACGCGTACATCCGGAACATCACGGACATCGACATCCAGGCGCCGTCGAGCGGGCAGACGAACACCGCGGTCGGGTCGCTCACGCGGATTACATCCAGGCGCTGCACTCGGCTGCGGAGGTGAGCTTCTACTACAAGGACAAGACCGCGCGGTCGGGCCGCGAGTTCACGGCATGCTCGCGTTCACGCTCCGCCGCAGGGCATCGACCTGGACGTCGTCGTGCGGAGCATCCCGAACTCGCGAGGGCCTGAAGGAGCGCGCGCGGCGCGGCGGTTCCTCGAGTGCAGCGGGTGGAGCGCGGTGAGCGAGGACGTGGAGGTGCGCGTCACGGAGAGCAACCACTCGGTGCTCGTGAGCGTGTTCCGGCCGGTGATGGTAGGGCGGTTCCGGGACGCGCTGCGGTGGTGCTCGAGCAGCAGGTGCGCGCGGCGATCGAGGCCGCGGACGCGCTCCTCTGGGATGTGGGCAAGCGCGCGGACGTGTTCGGGGATGCGGGCTCGGGCGGGGGCTGCGCTCGTTGCCGGGTTCTGGAGCGAGCTTGGCACCTGCGGAAGACCGGCGAGGGTGGGGGTGCTGGGCGGTGGCGCGCGACGGGACCGGCGTGGTGAAGCGGGACGGGAGGCGCAGTTCGCGATGGGGCGGACCGCAGGTGTTGGGGGCGAGAAGCGGGCCCGAAGGGACGCTGAGGAGTCGGTCGCGGAGCGGTATGATCTCGAGGGGAAGGAGGCGGCGCGGAGACGGGCGGCAGCTGAAGGTGTGCGGAGCAGGCGAAGGAGGGCGTGAAGGAGGGCGTGAGGAAGGTGCGTGGGTTTGGGAAGCAGTTGAGAGGAAGACGGAGGAGGAGCGCGGGAGGACGGGTGGCAGAGCTCGGCGTTTGACGTGTCTGCGTGAGCGGCGGTCTGAGGCTGCGTGCGCGGTGCGAAAGGATGTTGTATTTGTATGGATCATTTGTGTTTGCGTGTAGCGTAACATACATGTAGCTTTACGCCGTCGCTATTCTGATCGCAACTCATTTTACCGGATTTGGATCGCGTGGTGTCTGCATTCACGGCTTTGCTCACGTTTGGGTACTTACCGCTGCTGCATTGTAGCTCGACTGCTTGCGCGTAAGTCCTGGGACGTGATTCGTCGTTTCGATCCGGGTGGCTGAGGCACTACTGTCATTACTACCACGCAACTACCTAGATCCTACGTATACAACCACGACGACCGCTGGTTGGGTTGTCGCTGCACACGTCAGTTGTAGCTGCTCTTTGCTACCGCGTGTCTGTGCTATCGCCTGCAGCTCATTCTTGACGACAGGATGCAATCTCACCGTGACGCATCGGACGGTTGAACGAAGACGTGTGGTCCATCATCCTATCGTTCGTCCAGCTGGACGACGCTCGCAGTCTTTCCCTCACGTCTCGAGCTATCCACCCCATCGCCAGGTGTATCGTCCTGTCGCGTGCTGAGACGTCTCGGCCGGGTCATTTCACGAAGATCTGTACCTTCATGCTAGGCGATTCTCGCTCTCGTGCCTCCTGGTTGCGTGAACTCGACGTAAGTATTACGCCCTGATGGACCCGTCACCCTTACGCGTCACGTCCAAGCCACTGTGCGAACTGCTGGCAGATCTCCTTGGTGCGGCACGAACCTCCGCGTACTGCACCTCACCTCCGTAGATGCTTTGCTCGAGTGGAACCACGCATCGGCGACGCTCTCATATCGTTAGAGGCCTAAAGCATATTAACTTCCATATCATCTCATCTGGTACCCTCCACGTCGCCGAACAGATGAGGAGCCGACCAACAACTGTGGCGCTCTCGTTTGTCCCAGGAATCTCGCTCCTTGACAACCTCGTCACTCTGAGCCATCTCGACTTACTCCGCGACGTGCACACGGTGAAGCTATATAGCTTGCCAGAGCCGTCCCGGCACCGGGATTTGGCTGTCGAGCACTTTGCGCTCGGGCAGCTGGACAGCTGCCTGCTGTGCGTGAGGCCCGCCTGTGCGAGCCATTGCCATGTTCCATACTTCCCCAACATGCAGACACTGTGTGCGAGCAACGAGCTCAGCCAACTCACACCGCAAAAATGGATGTGGCCAGCATCTGTGCCTCTCGTGGACGTTTCCATCGATTCGAGGACCTGGTCCATTTTACGAGAGCGCCAATTCGTCGACTCTACCTGTATGAGTACAGTTCACCTGATCATACCCTTGATCAACTCGCCAGCACCTTGCAATCTGCAAGACCCATTTGTCTATCATTCGCTTCTACGAGGTGGGCCGCATGGAAAACGACCCCCTCCGCAACTGGGCTGGTGTGTCCAGACGATCCTTTGCTCTCAGGGCACCTGCGGTACCTCGAAGCTACATTGATTGCACATATGTACACGGTGACAACAGCCTATCACCGTGGATGGCAGTGCGTCCGAGTGAACCGTCTCACCTGCTCACACTGATGGTTTCCCCTGTTAGGAATGGTTCCTCCCAGTCATTGCCCAGTCCAACGGCGACTCCAGCCTCCTATGTATGCGACTCAACTTCAGAGTCATGGTCAACCGCCTAACACATGCCCGTGTGCCATCCCTATCGCACTCGACCCTACAAGACGCTGCTCAACGAGTGGCGCGACATGTGCCTTCGGTCAAGTTCATATGTATTGCCATGGAGCCCGACTACCCTGAGGATCAGCACCTCGAGGTACGCACTTGGTGGCGCGTGCATATGGATGCAGGCCAATAACGTGTAGAGAGTATAACAAACGAGGCTGGCGAGCGGCTGGAGCATTACATGCGCTCTGCGGACTTCGAGCGGAAGTTATCATTGGACGGATTCAGTCTCACTGGTGCTTAGGGTACACGTCTCTAAAATTGGCCATCTCACGGCCTTCGAGCCAGTGTGTATACGCATAATCACTAGATGCATGATGCTCTCGCTATTCTGAACACACCAATAATGGCGGACGACACGCTCGCCGCCGAATTTATGCTACGCACCACGCTGATTGACCATCACGAAGCTTTCTCAGTTTCTGCCCCGATGGACTATCGCTCTTCCGAGCTTCTACGATCTCGCCGTCCTCCATGTCCTCCGACGCGCCGGACACACGCTCATGGTCGATCCGCACATAAAAGCGGGTGGCCTACGGGGGGAAACGCACGATCAATTAGCACAGGCGCAAGGAAAAGAAGATACCTGACGCATATGCATCCGGACGCAAGCAATGCGCCCAGAACTGCCTCCAGAATTCGGCAACGTCCGCCCTCTTCACCAGCTCGTCCTTCACTCGCCTCGTCATCTTATGTACTCCGACCCTCGTGCTTCATGTCACTACAAAGCAAAGTAGCCATGGTCCCGACATTACAGGCCTAGACGTAGAACGCAAGTACTCACAAATGGCCGAGGAACCCCATCATGTTGAACCACCGGCAGTCGAGCGGGCATTGGAAATCGTTGCCCTCTCGCCGGAGCGGGAGGCTCACCTTCAAGCTTCAAGGCTTCGGCGGCGGCAGTTGCGCCGCCTTTTTCTCCCGCTCCCACTCCCGCTTACGCCTCCGTTTCTCTTGCCTCGCGCGGTCTTTCTGGAAGTCCTTGTCAGTGAGCACAGCCCGGGGTTTGATCGTGACGGAGAGTCTCGACGGAAGGTTCAGTATCCCACTCCATTTCCGTTACAGGGCGAGTGCATGACGAATAGAGTACACGGTTGTGATACATCTTCAGCCTCAGTGTTCCGTCTTGCTCAGACGCGACAGAAATAGCAAGGGTGATAGCCATGTCGCGTCGCTCGACCATAAGACATTGTTCCGATTAAAGCGGCTCAGAGGCCGAGATACACGCACTGCGAGATTGAGCGGACGTGAGCGGGTTAGAGTCCGAGTCCGAACGGGAGCACAGACCGTTGTTGCCGCGAATGAACGCATCACCATAGCGATGTAGAGGATGCTGGCGACGTGTTCCTCGGTATGCTCAAGGCCATGTTCATGTACCCGTCCAGGCTCGTTGAAAGAACACTTGTCCGGTCGGCCAGGCTACACGACCACGGACTTGATCAAACTTTAAAAGGCATATACGACGATTGACTCACCTTCCAACACCGTTGGGCATGGAGGCGACGGCAACTTAGTGCCCGCCCTACCTGGATGGCCACGCAGCGTCTGAGAGGACCATGGCGCTATCATCGGCCTCGATCTTGTTGGTTTCCACCGATACGACGATGCCGTCGGCGGGTAGGAGGTCGGCGACGATATCCCCAGATAGGTGCCGACCCACCGCGACCAAGCATTGTTCCCACCTGTAGAGTCGAGCTAGCCACAATACAAATTCGTTCTGCGAGACATCATACTATACAGATGTTCATGCACACCGGAGCCTCACCGTCACTGATACAACGCGATGCGAAAGAGCCCGTCTCATAGTACGGACGATCACGGGCGTTAGCATGAAAGATCATCTCCGCCCCTGCGCACCGCCCCCAATTACGCAGCCCACGTACATGCACCCGTCGACAGACTGGTTATGGTGCCATCGCAGAGATATCGATGGCCCCAGTGATGTCGCGAACGCGGATTTTGTTGAATCGATCGTGTAGCAGACCAGCCATGGCGCGCGGGGTACTGTTGAGGGAACGATATCTCTGATGATCGACTTGACACAGGCTCGAAAGCGGAGGTAGGCCTCAGGAGGTGAGGTGAGAGGCATTCCATTAGCCTCCAGCAAGCGCTATAGTAGATGGTTCAGTTGCAATAGACAGGTAATAGATGGGAACGTACGTACCATGAAATGATAGTCCTCTTGCCAGTGATCGAAATTCGAGCCATCACGAACACGCGTCTTGAACCTGTCGAAGTCGCGGCGTTGGTAGAATAGCAAGCAAACCTCAACGCTAGGCCAGACATTGTCTCCTGCAAGACACTGGTCTTGAAGCTGACGTCAGGGTCAGGCTGTTGGCTGGGAAGCCCGGCGACCAGCACGATGAAGAACCCTACAAGGGATCGAGTCAAGGCCAGAGCAATCTAGCACACATCGTCAGTGATGCGAATACATATGAAGGTAGGTAGACCCACCTTGCGTGTCTGGTAGAGAAACTCCTCGCGTGACTGGGTCACCAAGCACATGAAGATGTCCGAGTTGTTGGGCTCGTATTCCGGCTCACCTTCGTGGCCGATGTCGAGCGTGATTGACGCATAGTTGAGGCGAAACTGGACATCGGAGTTGGTGATCACTCTCTTTGCAGATACAACCGGCTTGACAGATACGAGGGATCGGTACACATGAATAGAGCGAACCGCATGCGGTCTGCAATTGAACCGAGAAGTCCTCGTCGAAGGTCGGTGCAATGGCCACGACCTCGTTGGCCTGGACGAAGAGGTCTGCTCTGCCACAGAAGGCTCAGCACAAGAAGCGCGATCATACAAACCCATACTCACCTCATGCAGCGCAAGAACGCTACCCAACGCCCATAAACTCCCCCTTCTAGCTCCCACTGCCACGCCTGTTCCAGCACGTCCAGTAGGAGCCGGTATGAATCCGAATTCATCCCGATCATATGCTACCCAAGAGGTCACGATCAAAGACATATCCATACACAAACGCGAGCCGAATGGGATCATACCTTTGTAACGAATCCACGTCGGCCTTTATCTACCCACTCCTTCCACAAGTGCCAGATGTCGTTGAAATACCCGTGCAGCGCATCGATGGGTTCGGTCGTTCCACCGTTCTCCTTCATCCGAGCCCAGAACTGTAATGGTATATCGTACGCATCGAGAGAAGTGTCGCTTGTTGCAGGCCATGACGTGTTCGTGGAACTCGGAGGCGTGCCGGGCGCTGTGCCAGAGTCCGAGTCCGAGGAGGGAGGCGTAGCATGTTCTGAGTACGCAGTGGTATCGGATGAGAGGTGTTCAGACATCGGTGGCTGCGTGCGCCGTGGATGGTGGTCAACAGCGGCACGCGCATGTGATCTCGTTCCCGGTGGGCAGTGGCTCGAGCTCTCGGCCACACAGATCCGACGCTACAACCACGACAGCCAGCTTGTCCCTGTACTCGTTGTTCATAGGTGCGCTTTGCCGTCTCGTCTTGAGACTGTACCAATCACTGCTCTTAGCTCGTTCTTGACAACGGAATGCAAACTCACTGTGATGCACCTCGGTTGGACGAGGACGTGTGGTTCATGATCGTGTCTCTCGTCTCTCCCAACACAGCGCGGAATCTTTCGCTCGTCTCCCGACATATCCACCTCGTGGCTAGGCGTGCAGTCCTCTCGCGCGCGGAGCCATCTCAACCAGGTCAATTGGTGAAGATATGCTCGTACATGCTCGACAACCCTTGTCATCGCGCCTGCTGGCTGCGTGAACTGCGCATACACAAGTTCGCCCTGCGGCTCCCTTATGCCGATTCCCGCGAGATGGGGCGTGCGCGTAGGTCGCTCATCGTCCAGCTGGCAAGTCTCCTTACTGCAGCGCAAGACCTCCGCGTCCTAGTCTTCCCTTTGCTGGAATTGATGCTCGAACTGGAACCACGTCTCGGCGACGCTCTCATCACATTGGAGCGCCTCCACTCCGTCGCCCTCGAAGACGTCGCGTCTTGTGCTATGGAAGTGGCGAGCAGGATGAAGAGTTATCCGTCAGAAGTTACCTTCGCGTTCGCATCAGAAATCTCAGTCCCGCAGAACTTTGTCACTTTGAGTCGTCTTCCCTTGCTCCGGAACGCGCATGCGGTGGTCCTTGACTCAGTCTGCCTCCCGGTCAAGGGTCCCCCGGGCTCCCAGCTTCAGCTCGGTGACCTCGGCCAACATCCTACTGTGCGCGAGGTCCGCCTCTACCGTTGCGGCGCGCTTCCGATACCGCACCTCTTTCCTAACATCGAGACACTCCACTTTCACGACCAACACTATTCTAGCGATTTCACTCCGCAGAGGTGGACGTGGCCGGCGTCCAAGCCTCTAGTCCATCTTACAGCTTCGCTCGATCAGCTCCAATGCTTTACAAGCGTGCCAGTCCGTCGTCTGTACCTTCACTGGCAATACGCACCCAATGTGGATGGCTTATTGAGTGCTCTCCTGTCCATTCGGCCCATTCTCTTGTCCTTTCAGCTGGACGGTCAAGAGAGCCTCTGGGCCGCTCTACTCCGAGAGATGCTTGGCCCGGCAGGGCGTCTGCGGCATCTGGAAATCACTGCTCAGTGCAGCACTACTAGAAGGGGATGTTTAATAACTCCGCTTATGGTGCGTCCGATCGTGTGTACGTACCACCGTCCAGTCCTATTGACCGTTCTTTCCTGCCAGGATTGGCTCCTGCCGGTGATTGCAAAGTCTAGCCTCGTCTGCGTGAGGCTCGGCTTCTACGATAGCGATGCTATGTCAATGTACCAACAACCAGAACAACGGCACAAATTGAAAACGAGCACACCGGCACTTAATATCGCCCAGCAGGTCGCAGCTCGTGTTCCGTCGCTCAAATACATCTGTGTCGCCATGGAGGCGCGCTCGTACGATTCGCGTCAGTACCATAGACGGGTCCTCGAGGGATGTACGTGGTGGCGGGTGCACGGCAACGCGGCGGGCCGGCGAAGCGTGCAGAATATATCAAACGAGGCGGGTGAGCGGGTGGAGGACTACATGGGCTCTGCGGACTTCGAGCGGAAGTTGTCATTGGACGGCTTCGTTCTCACCGGTTCGTAGAGTTCGTAGAGCGGAATTATTCGGGTGTCCGACGCACAACACGATTACGCAAAAACCACAATTAGCAGATGGTGTCAACCTTGCACGTTTGAGGCGCGTAAGTACGAACATAATTAGTAGTTGTATTGCCACGTAGTCTCGAGGCAGCATACTAGTAGCGGTGTACGACAGTCCTACAATATTTGTGTAGATGAGCGGCAAAGGGTTGAGGCAGAGACGCGTTTGTGGCGTGACCTGTTCCCCGACGTCGACGCGTTCACAGCTGACGCGCGGCGCGCGCAGCTTTGTTCACCACCTTTCAAGTTTCATCGAAATTTCATCGCATACCGCGCCCTCGCGGTGCGCGTGTGAATACGGCTCTATGCCTCAGAAAGCCAGTTGTATAAGTAGCGATCAGAAAAGGAATGAGTGAACGAGATCAGCAAATGAATGTGCGGGGTGTACAGGACAACAACAGCATCAAACTCCTACTCCAAGAACCGGATATCAGGAACAAAACATACAACATACAGTACGAACGCGAAACTCAACCCTACGAGCCTCGCTATGTACAGAGCAGAAAGTCCACATAGTGTGTCTTGTGTAGTACGCAGGCGGAGACGTCGAGAGAGCGTTACGAGGGGGCTATGATAGCATATCCAGGGTCCGAGTGTCCATCCGAGAGGAGAGCGCGAGCGGGAGGGTCTAGCTGAGAGCGTCAGGAAGCGGAGGGGTGCGTGGATGAGCGTGGATGTCCGCCTGCGAGGGCAAACAATGTTAATACGACATGACATCGTGCAGAGATGCAGACGAGACGAAAGGGAAAGAAAGAGGGCGGGACACAGACGAAGATGCTGCGTTATGCCCGAATCTACGGATGCTTCAGGTCTGACTGGCAGGGGCAGAAAGAGAAGACTGCGCGACGTCGACAACGATCGGCAAATGAGCAAAGGACACCGAAGGGAGGGCCTCGAGAATATATAACCACATGCGGATGTGCCGCGTCAAGAACGAAGATTGACGCGTGGCGACGGAGGATGCAGAGACACTGCCGTGAACGAACAGCCGACGATACGCAAATGAGATGTCACCAGCAGGACACTGGGTACACAAAGCACAAGTATACAAGGTGCAGTATACAAGTAAACATAGAAAGGAGTGAAAGCGACGAAGAGGCGTCGCCGCACGAGAGACGGACCATCAGGAACCGACGCGCACGTCCGACTCGTCATACGACGGTCCGCAGTGTCGGAGTAGACGCTATCGTGACGCCAGACGTCCACATGTGACAAGGGCAGTAAGCATGCGCCATGTTATCGGAAGACGAGTGGCAGTACCACGGCGGAACGGAAGGTGCGACGTGCATTGAATGCTTCAGTCACGAAGAGGCGATCTGCGAGCACGGCGCGTGGTCGAAACCCACAACGCCGCGGCTGCGCATGCCTGAAAGACGCTGCCACCACGTCACGAGAAGGATCCGGAGATGCGTGGTCGATGGAGATCGGACGGCAACGTTACGAAGGAGAGGAAGGGTGATCGACGGGCACGAACATCAAGATCCGAAGCAGAAGACGCGATCTACAGGGATGCATTGTCATGGAACGATGGACGGTGATGGCAGCGACAGCGAATGTGGAAATCACGACGCGGACACGCAGGACAGCGGGCGGCGAACGCGACACCCAGGGAAGCAGGAAAGGAACAAGCACGGGAGCACATCATGCGTAGAGAGAAGAACATGGCATCCACAGCGAAGGACAGATCACAAAGAAGGAAACGAGACGGACGGATACGCACCTGAGCGAAGTCGCGAGGATCCCGTGTGCAAGCCTGCCTGCATGCGCAGACTAGGGCCGGCGATCCTCGAGGACTGGCAGCGGATATCTCCGCACGTTCGACCTGCGACAGGGAAGCAGGGATATGAACAGAGAAGGTCAACGGACATGAAAGGGAACGCACTGGACGGTGAGATCGTATTGACCCGTGGAGTTGATGTGGTTGTCGTTTGCGATGTGGTCGAGGGTGCCGTTGTGATAAAAAGAGACGATCGGGTAGGATATAAACAACGCAAGCAGGGAGCAGGTCACCGCGACGAGCATGGCGATGTTGAAGATGCCGCGCCAGCTGAGGGTGTTCCACCAGCGACTCGACTCGCCGTAGGCGGGCTCGTAGATGTAGTCGTCGTCCTCGGGGCCCTCGTGCTTGTCGTCGAGGGCGGGGTCGTAGGCGTAGGGGATGAAGCCACGGCGGGAGCTGGAGACGGAGCCGGCGGGGTACTTGCTGTCGTAGGATAGGGAGAGGACGGAGTCGCCGGAAGATGAGGCGAGGCTGGCACGGTGCTCGCGGAGGGGCGGGGGCGAGGGGAGATCGCCGAGGTCGTCGCTGGCGAGGCGGTAGAGGATCATGGAGCCGCGGCGGGAGTCTGCGGCGAGGGCGTGGGCGTCCTCGGAGGCGACGCGCTGGATGGCGGCGAGGGTGTTGGCGCGGGACGACTTGCGCGGGCGCGGGGTGGCGGCGCCCGGGGTGAAGTTGGGGTTGAGCGGGGAGGAGACGAAGGTGGGGGTGAGGGAGAGCGCGCGGGACACGGGCGAGCCGGACGCGCTCTCGTCGGAGAGCAGGCGGGCGTGCGGGCCGGGCACGGCGGTGGGCGGCGGGGACGGGGACGACGAGCGGGAGGTGTCCGGGAGCACGAGGACGTCCTGGACGGTGTCGAGCTTGTCGACGGGCGCGGTCTCCTCGCTGCTGGGAAGCAGCGCATCTGCGGGCAATCGTCAGTGGGCACGTGAGCGACATGAACGACGCGCACCTGAGCGGCGCGAGTCGTCGCCGGTGTCGTCGGAGGACCCTGAGGAGGACATCGCGGGCGACCGCTGCGGCGACGAGCACGACGGTGAAGAGAGAGACGGGCAGCGAGCGCGGCCTCCGCCCTGCCCTTTGGCTTATCGCACGACCTGTCGGCGCGTCATGCCCGCGTTCCTCTCGGCGCTAAGCTCTTCATTAACGCGCTGCCCGATATGGTCAAGCCGCGCCCGCCTCGTTCCCCGCGCCCGCACCGGTCCCGCTCCTCGTCTCTGGCGACCTCCTCCTCGTCGCCAGCTTACCCCCCGTCGCCGGCCACCACGACGCCCACGACGGTGAGCTCTTCATCTCGTACGCTGATGACTAGGCACTGACCCCGGCCGAGCAGCTCCACGGTCTGATACCGCCCCGCTCACACGCAGGGCGCCTTACCTGCGAGGCTCGAGTTCTGCTCGCATCGTCCTCGCCTGCGGATTGGGGACGAGCCTACCGTTGTCGCTTGCAGGACCATCAGGTGTCCACAATCCCCCCTCTATTGCTGTCGTTTGCTCGACGGTGCGTGACGCGCTCTTCCTCTTCTCCAACCTCGCTCGATCGGACGTTTACCGTCCAATACTGGCGCGACCGTCCAATCAGGCAAGCCTTGATTTCCCTCGGCGTAAGTGCTCTACTTACTAGCCTTACCTTCTGCAGAGTCTGGCGGTGCACGCCCTCTGCCTCACGCGCGCGTCCGGTCTGCTGAGCCCGTGCCCAGCGGCTCCTGTCAACATTCACGCGTCGCTCCTGTCGTGGCTAGATTGATCAGCCCAGAGCGCGCGCAACGTAGGAACCGCCCGGCATGCAAGACATGACGATCGCGTCGAATGTACAGAAGAGCGGACGGCGGATGGCGCTGTGAAGCGAGGCTCGTCCTCTGGCTGCCCTTCCATTGCGACATAGCAGCCTTGACCTTGAAGTACGTGGTGCGTGTCAGCCGCTCATTCGCTGACAAGCTCGTCAACTCGACACTCACGTTTCCCTCCGCCCTAAGGTCCAGAACGCGATTAGTGCGGAAGCAGATACGTCGTCAACGCGCGTACGCCTGTGCACCATGTCAAGGAGTACTTCCGAAGTAGAAGAGACCCTTGCAACCGGGAAGATCACATTACAGTGTAACTTACAGAGGGCATCGACGAGGTGGCGCTCCCGTAGTCTCCGTGGACATTTCCTTCAACCTTCGTGCCTCAGAATATCCTTGTCTGACCGCTCCGCGAAGGCAGCGAAGTCTAGCTACGCAACCTTTGCTACAGTAGAGTGTACAGTAGAGTGAATGATTGCATTAGGACGATGTGAATGCCTCACGCAGACTGTGCAGAGCATTTCCAGGCACATACCACGAGGCAGCCAGGTGAAGATACGCTATGCCGTTGCTCTGAAATGAAGCGGAAGTGTCGTCACGGTACCAGGGACTGCAACGTTTAGCGGTCGGGGACGCGAGCGCGCGACTGGCGACCGATTTTGCCAAGTGGTAGAGGTTGGGTGTGGGCAGGATATCGCTGTACCCATGAACTGACGTGTGTTCGCAGAGCAACATGTCAAAAACTTTGAGAGGGCGTTGTGCCGTACATGTCGTCTTGGCATCATCCTGGCAATGCAGGGTTCAATATTGATACAAGGGTGTCAGTACGGTACAAGGGTGGGAGAGCATGTTATGGACAGCATTACGGAAGCGAGAGCATAGGCAGATACGCTGGGGCGAAGGTGCGACGCGAGTCAACGCAAGACGCCTCGTTTACTGAGCGAAGAGGCTGGCGTCGCCGCCGAGGCTAAGCGTGCTGATACGCTCTGAGCCTCCCTCCTGACGAACGCTAATAGATGGGCCCCGTGGGTGAGCACGCCATTCGAGACGACTGTTATGCGCGGAACTCACGAAGCTGAGGCTGTGACGTCCGCAGCCTGCTCTGCCCCAGCCGGAGTAAACTCAACGCGTGTGGCGAGCTGGATGTGCCCGTTAGACCGCGCGTCCTAGCGACGAAGATGGCATGACGCACCAAACCCTCTTGCGCACCGGCGGACGGCGTGAACGTCGCGCTGTCATTGTTCCACTTCTTCTGCAGTGCAAGCAGCGCTTGCTTGAGGCCATCCTTGTCGACCTCGTTCCCTGCGACGACGCCGGTGGCGTCGCTGGTGAACCAGTTGTTGAAGCGGGTGCTGAAGAGGTCGACGGGGCCATGGCCCATGCGGAGGCCGGGGAGCTTGGGCTGGTTGAAGTGGATGTAGGGCGAGTTCATGAGAGTCTGGAGCTTCTCCTGCAGCCACTCGGAGGAGACGGCGGTGGCGGGCTGGGGTGCGGACATGGCTGCGTAGGACGTGCTAAAGAGATGCGCTGGTGGTGGTAGAGAGGAAGGTGGGCGAGCTGGATTACGGAGGGTGGCGAGGATGAGGATAGAGTTTGTGAGGAGACGCATGGAGTGGGCGGGGACTCATCTCGTTATATATATCTGGCTCTGCGCCTGGCTGCTCGAGCTGGTCAACGTCGACCGCAGGCGGAGGCGATCATCGTGACGCGCCTGGACGCGGGTGATGTCACCCTCACGGGACCCTGCACGGAGTCATGTGACAGACGCGCGCGCCTTGTGTGCAGAATCTGCAGATGAAGCGACCGTCGAGCCACCTCCGTCGTTCGCCCGCTCTCGCCTTTCCAGTCAAAGTTCTACTCGCCGCATATATAAAGACCTCGCTTGTATCGCTATCTATATCTCAAGCTTATGTCCACCGCAACAGAGTCCTACGCCTCTCGTTTCCTCCCCAGCCCCAAGACCGTAGCCGTGCGTCCCTCTCTTATCTCCTCGACCCCCCTACTTATCTGGGTTGTGGTCTAGATCGTGGGCTGCCCTTTCAGGTAATGCTGTCTTCACATAAGTAATCGACGCAACTGAACATCTGAGAGCCATCGCCACGCAGAGGCGGTCAGGTATGTCCCACCTTCCAACTTACACTGGTCGGCTGCGGGGACAGCTCGGGGACTTAGGCAGGACGGTCCCATCGGGGTTAACCCTGCATTACGTCTTGGAATAGCACGTTTATTGAAGCAGACAGTGCTCCTCGAGCACGCCTCTTCCATGCATTGTCTCCCACCGACCAGTGCCTGTCCGTCTACCCGAATGGCTTCCTGACATCGCACACCCATCTAGTCCAAGGAAGGCGTAGATCGCGGCCCCATCCGCCTCGTCCAAGCCGGCCTCCCCGACCAGCTCACCGAGCTCGGCTGGAAGGTCCAGTTCGATGGTCACCACCAGTTCGAGGAGATCGACAACCTCAACGATCCTCCCATCGGCAAGCTGAAGAACCCCCGCCTCGTCTCTCGTGTTGCGAGGCCGTCGCGAACGTTGTCGGTGATCACGCGAAGCACGGTCAGCTGCCCCTCACCCTCGGCGGCGATCACTCTTTGGTAGTATTCTGGAAGCGGGTCTTGCATTGCAGCTGAGCGGTTTTGGCGTCTAGGCCATGGGCACTATTTCGGGAACGCTGAGGTCAGTAGCATTATGTCTACCACTCGCGTTTACTTCGCGTCTTGGACCGCACCTTCTGAGGTCAACGCTGCGAAGCGGTTTCTGCCATGAACAGGTCTTTATGGCATGGAGTGTCCTGCTTTGGGCGGGCAGCAGCAGGCTCAACGCACCTACGGCTCGTCTTCCGCATAGATGTCCGCTTGAGCTCGCATGCGTCGCACGACATCGTAATCACTATGTCGTACTCATAACTTCATCTGCAGTCATTATCCCGACGCTTGTGTCATTTGGGTCGATGCCCACGCCGACATCAACACACCGGAAACGACCGACTCAGGTGCGTATGCCCCCCACCCCTTCCCCACCCTCTGACCCCCACTACCCCCCAGGCAACATCCACGGCATGCCCGTCTCCTTCCTGCTCGGGCTCGGCCCCAAGGTCCCCGAGTTCAGCTGGGTGCGCCCGCTCCTCCAGGCGCACCGCCTCGTCTACATCGGCCTGCGCGACGTCGACGCGGGCGAGAAGCGCATCCTCAAGGAGAACGGCATCAAGGCGTTCTCCATGCACGAGGTCGACAAGTGGGGCATCGGCAGGGTCGTCGAGATGGCGCTCGACCATGTGAACCCCAAGAGGGACCTGCCCGTGCATCTGAGCTTTGATGTGGACGCGCTGGACCCGACGGTCGCGCCGAGCACGGGGACGCCGGTGAGTGCCCGTCGCGGCGTTGGTTGATGGGTCAGAAGAGAGGCTGACGGTGTTTGTGCGTAGGTTCGTGGCGGGCTGACGTTCAGGGAGGGACACTACATCTGCGAGGCGGTCTACGAGACGGGATGTCTCGTCGCGCTCGATATCATGGTGAGTCCCTGCATGATCCGTGTTCTATGTACTGCTGCCGACAGCTGACGTACGCGTAGGAGGTGAACCCAGACCTTGGTACCAATGAAGAGGCGGTGAAGCAGACCATCGCTGTCGGGTGCTCGCTGGCCCGGTCTGCGCTTGGTAAGTCCATCCCGCGCCTGCCATGTGGACTGACCTCACATATGACTATACAGGGGAGACTCTGTTGTAGGTGCGAATGTACGTCTGAACGTCAATGTAGCATAGGCAACCAGCTGTAGCCAACAAATTCCCGACGCGTTTTGAGCCTTTTGCGGGTTCTTTGCTGCGCCTTGCGTTCCGGCTGGCACGAACATGAATGTGTATGCGACCCTACAAGAACAAGGGGAATGACTAGTCGAACATAGAAGCAGCAATGCCCGTGGAAGTATCACCGAGGTGCGTAGTGTTGTACAGTATTGCTGCAGCAGTGTTGGAGCACGCCCGTCGGCGTAGCGCGAAGTGAAAGCATTGCTATCTCAAGGGTAGCATCTAAGACTGCGGTATTGTCAAGCGGACACCACGTCGCGGTAGACGTAAACGTCATCGCAATATGACGTTCACCCCGTATTCCCCGCTTGCTTGTCGCAAAGTTCTCGATGGAACACCACGTATCGTATTGGTGATGACTCTAACAACAGTTTGAAGCAGACGTAAGGCGGAGGGGGGCCGAATCCGTACCGAACAAAGTCGTATGCAAGATGGCACCCGTTCTGTCAGCGTTAGTGTGTCACGGACATTCCGAGCGTCGCACTTGACTAACCAGCCTTCCGAGTCTATTCCAGCCTTTTGCAGACCACATTGTGTCCAACGCACGCATAATCGCAAGTGAACGCGGAATCCTTGAACCGTCACCGGCATCCGCATATCGCATTCCAGCAGCCATTGGAGTCACCACTTCAATGACTGCTCGAATGCGATTTGTGGACATCATGACGTTACGGCAAAGCTCGGTCATACTCCGTGGCCCCTACTTTTTGTCATGTGATACAACTAAGAGGCTCAGGCTACGAATATCTCAATGGGAATGGGATCCCGAGTACTGCACATCGCCACTTCCACGACATGGCGGTACATACGACTTATAGCTTGCACATGGACACCATGATTCCATGGCGAGGCGCTGATTGCCTTGCTCGAGCCCTGCGTTAAGGTGAGTTACGTGTCTTCTGGTTCAACGAATGCTGAAGGCGTAAAATACGACCTGGGACGTACAAGCTATGCGCGGGTAGCTCGTGTTCAATTCTTCAAGTACACAGGCGTCGAGTGCCATTGGGAACGATCTCACATATGATCACACAGGGGAGACTTTGTTGAAGGTGTGGATGTACGTCCGACCGCATAGCGTAGGGAATCAGCTGTAGCCAACAAACTCCCGACGCGTTTCGAGCGTTCTTTGCTGCGACCCACTTGGCGTTGCTACAGTGATGCGATTACGCGAGCATACGAGTACGAACATGACCATCCGTAATGTACATGGGTATGGGACCCTACAAGCACAGGGGGATAACGAGTCAAACATGGAAGCAGCAATAATCGTGGAGGTATCATCGAGGTACGTAGTGTTGTACAAGACCTAGTGCGTGGAGCGCAGATAGAATACTGAAATGCAAGACAGAAGGAACGGTAAAACGGCTGGCGAATCGCCGCCTCGTACCCACAGGATCCGGGGCCGGGGCGAGGTGGGAAGCCTGCGACGACTCGCGCTTCAATGTCATGGGGGCTGCCTTGTCAGCCGTCGAAGGTGCCGGGCCCCGGTCAGTTCCCGAAGAGACCCTCTTCGCCGTCCAGCTCGAGGCTGCTTATGCGCTCTGCGCCGCCTTCACTTTGTATTCTGGAGACGGAGCGTCTGTCGTGAGTACTGATTGCAGTTAAGGACTAGAAGAAATAGTGCTGACAATGCGGTGGCGACAACCTCGGTGTATTCGCATGCGTGTCGGGGCATGAAGTCACAGTGAGTCGCGACCTGCAAAGGCAGATAGTTGGTGACCATCAAAGTGGGGGTTAGGCAAGATGAACGTACGAAACCGTCTAGGCATGTCGCAGGGCCAAAGCGGCAGCTGGTAGCATTCCACTCCGTGTGGAGCGCGAGCAGAGCGGCCTTGATTCCGTCGCGACCCACGGACTTGCCGGCTACGACACCGGTCGCGTCGCGAGTGAAGAGCTTGTCGAAATGGTCATTGGGGGCTGTGACGAGCGTCCGGAAGTGCTCCTGTAGCCAACTGCTAGTAGAGGGTGAGGTCGTGGGGAATATCTCTGGCATTCGTCGGTGGATAGAGTATGGTACGCGAACGACCGGTATTGGCCCGAGGACCTGGCGGTTTGGTGGGGGTCGACTCTAAAGAGAGTTGTGTCTGCGGGTCTTGAGCGAACATGAGGCTGATTTATGCACAGATGCGAGGCGCTGGAGGAGGCGTAGCGCGGTCGAGACGGGAGGCTCGGTGGAAGGCTGTGGAAGGCCGGGACTCCCGACGGCAGCGACGCGGAGGACCAGGGTACCACTGGGTTCACCTCGACGTGTACCCGATGACTCCGCCCGTCTCGTACTGGGTATACAGTGTACGGACGGAGCTTGAGTGGTTCGTCGCTTCGCGCGTCGCCCGCCAATCTGGATGCGTGGGGCTCCCTTCGAACGTGCGGCCCACGGTGATAGCGCTGGGCTGTACACTGCACGACCGTGTTCGGCTGGCATGGATGGATGGATGGGATGCGCAGGATGCGAGCCAGGGCAATGTGGGACTGATCGATACGCCCTGAAAAATAGGTCGATCTTCCGAGGAACCCTCATGGTTCTTCCGATTTCTACTTGCACTGCGTTGTTTCGGCGAAGCGTTGCGACTTTTCAATTGCTTGGAGTGTCGAGCTTGCACTGATAAGACATAATAGTAGATTCGGGTAGACGGCTCAATGGAAATCGATACCCGATTTTTGTCGTCAAACGGCATCGTACAGATGTGCCGCTGCCAGGAAGCCGAATGCACGCACCATGCATGCATTCTGCGGACGTTCCGGCAGCGGCGGGAGGCGGTCTTGGGTTCTCTCGATTCTATGCCGCATTCCATTGTTATGGCATCGTGGACGGGGCCAGCAGTGGAGGGTTGCGACTCGGAGAAGGGTTTGCCTTGCATGCACAGAGGTGAGTTCAGCCTTACAAGCTTCTCTGACTTCACTTGCCTCATGGCAACTATGCTACCAGGGTCCCAGGCGGACACGTGGTGTATGCAGGTGTCAGACCACAACCACAGTGGTAAGCCGACCAGGTTTTAGGCTCATTTTTACATCATGACTGACAGACACAATGCGACCGCCTTTCGACTTACATAAAGATAATCATTTCAAGGCCCGTGGGTTGCGAGCGCCACACTGACAGAGCCTCGAGTTATTCAGTCGGTACTCGGACATTGGTAAACATACACTCATCACACATCTCGCTTTCATACTGAACTCGTCTTATAGATAGTTGGCTGTGACATTTGTTGCCGCCGCTCTGCGATGTTCGCGTTCACGATAGATCGTGCCCGCTAAGCGAACGACGGGCTTTTCCACGTCAAGATGGGTCATTATCTGCGCACGAAGGCCTGCCCCATCAAACTTCCAGTGCCTACCATTCCGATCGAACTCACCGTCTCTTAGGCGAGACGGGAAATTGCGGCCAATTGAGTCGATTTCCTTCTGCACGGTATAATCCACTGACAATGTCGATAGCTGCTTTAACTGACTCGCTTACTGCAGAAGCTCCTGAATGTTATCATCGTGGTATTTGTCTTGGTCTTCAAGTTGTTCGCGTGTCCCTTTCGCGGACCACGCCTCCAAAAACAACGGCTACAGCCGGTGAGCGTTACCCCTCGAACCCTTCCTTATTGATTTTCATGCTGCATGCCTCACTCATACGTGTAAGCGTGCATACGGACGCGAATTACGGCGCTGACAACCCGCGAGATTCTGCCTCATGGTCTCCTCACGAAGACGAAGCTCCAGAAGACACGTTTACGACACTCCGCCGAACCTGGTTAAGTACAAGATGACCGCCGGAGCACGACGCAGGACTAGCAAAGCAAAACGACGTCTCATCGCACATCCAAAAATGCCGAAGGCACAACGGTTGTCCACTACGCTGTCCCCACGGTATCACCCGTACTCTTACCGTCTGCGACGCCAGTGGCAACGCGAAGTGAGTGTTTCCACGATATTTCCCTGGACACTACTTCGTCTTGCTCAACGCTATTGTATCGCACTGTGCGTATGATAGATGCGATTGCGCCAGGCGCTTTCGATGTACCCGTTGTGGCTCATCGAGCTACTCCATCTCCTGAGCGGTGAGTGTTCATCTCGAGCTAACAGGCTATTGTATCTAAGCAGGGCATTTCTATAGACCCCGACGACTGGCCTTTCGTTTAGGCGTATGACTGTATGGACTTTGGCAGGTCTATGCTCGGACTGTCAAGGAATGCCGGGTCTGTACACCACAATGTCACTCGTTGTGTCGCTGCCCTTTCGAATTGCTATCGTCGCTGTCCAGTTGCTTACGTTGCTCTGTAATTCCGGATCGCATAAGGATGTCGATGCACTGTTCTGTAGATGATGGCCAGCATGAGTCACGTGAGAAGGCCAGCCCAAGCCCATTGTTCCCGTTAATATTGCCAGGTCGCCTGAGTTTTCGCCTGTGCTAGATTGATTGGCTGTTTGTGAAGGGGTTTACGTCCGATAAATGGATGGCGTCATGGCGAACACATAGTAGTATGAAGGAGATGATAGATCTAGACACATATTCGTGACATTCCCTCTCCCGAGTAAAATCCAAAGCTTATTGAGCTCTAGGGTATCTGTGTCATTGTCGTCGTTCTATTTGTCAGTGAGTGAAAGCAAGCATCCGGACTACTTACTCCCCCAGTCCGTAGTGAGTTCAGTACTGTTTATCATGCTGACGATGAATCATCAATGTGAAGGAACTTTCACAGTCCATACAAGGCTCGTAAACGGTACGAATATTTCATTCTCAACCAATCAAAATGTGATGGAAATTCATGTATTTTGTTTGGAGAGCTAGAAGATCGCTTCAAGTTCCAACGGGCTTGAACATTTCTATTTGGCAACTTAGCCGCGATCTAGAGTGACGATCGCGCGGAGCGTTCAGTATAAGCGGCCATGGGTCGGGCATTCTAAGAAAGGCAATATGGAGGTGTGACCAAGAGCGCTCGCATTGCAGTGGCAAGCTGCGCGACGCGTTCGCCTGCTCAGGCTCCTGCTCGTCCTCTTCCACTCTCTCCCATCGCCCGCGCTCGTCGTGGCCATTGTCTTCTTGACCTGCCGAACATGACAAACGAGCCTCAGACGCCTGAAAGGCCGGAAGATGCCCAAACTGCCCGGCCTCCATCCCCATCCACCAAGCGATCCCAATCGAAGTACTTTCAGCAACCGAACGCCATGGACGCATCCTTGACCACACCCGTCTCCTCATCGAAATTCTACGGATCCGAAGACCTGGATCATCGCGAACAGGCTACATTGCGCCAACAACATCGCCATATCGTGAGCCAGAGGTCGTAGAAGATAGCCTTGCCTCTAGCCAGCCGGAGGTGTATCAGGATGCCACACAAGGATGGTCGACGGACCAGTCATCGTACGGGGATTGGGGGCCGCAATGGTCTGGTCATATGTGGTCAGAATCTGCTGGCTCGCACAAGATAGCCATTGACGGCCGCGACGATTTCCAAGAGCTCAATTGGTACAATCCCGCTGTGCACGAATCGAAGCCCAGGCCTGGACCGGGTATGCTGCCTCCTTTACTTGCGGACGAAATTCACGACCCAGAACATGCTCTTTACTCTGTGAATATCATGGCTCGCCTACCCTCTACCACTCCTGACAGCGCCCAGCTTGCGCCGTCGCAGGAGGAAGCACGGACGGCTATACCTCACGCGCGCTCCTACTACTGTGCCGAGCACAATGGATGGATCTTAATCCTCTGGGGCTCATCTTCTGTCCTCCCGCCTCTCGCGCGCAGCGTCGAGAATCTACCAGACGCTACGCGGCGCAAAGTTACTACCTCGTGCATCGGCGACGGCGAGCAACCGTTCGGGCAAGTGAATGCTACGCACCATTGGCACCGCTATGAGGTGCCGTCGACTCGCGGTATCTAAGCACGCCGTTCGAGCGCGAGAAGAGACACTCCTCGATCTGTATCTCTGCTGCCAATGCAACAAGTATTGCATGGTGTCCGACGTCCTCCCCGGCGTCATCCCTCACGACGTCCATCAGGCCTTCATCTATGACAGGTGGAGCCACCCTCCTCCCGATCGAACACCCAAGGGGAGCGTGATGGCAGGCTGGGAGACGATGTTGACGTGCGTCCGCTTCACATACACACGGTGACAATCGCTTACCTCGTCCAGCATCCTCGAGAACCGTCTATGGAAAGACGAGCAGCGTTCGCTGCCCGTCACCCGTCCTCGCTTTCAGCACAAACTTGGCTGGAACAGTACCGTGTAAGCATCCATGAGTATGTGCTTGGCACGTACTGACACCCCTCAAGTCGCAAGATATTCGAGGTTCTAGGTTTTCCTATCAATGCTATTAAGAAGACAACAACAACTATCGCCGATAACTCCTCGACCGCGGAAGAACTTGGCTTACTGCCTCCGAACATCGATCCCGCGACTCCTGAGGGAAAGCACCTACGGGTGAAGCTGTTACGTGCGTGGGTAGAGATATCAGCCTGGTTGGCTATCTACCGAAAATCAAGTGCGTATCTCGCTGCATAGCGTCGTGTATTGTAATAACGCACGTTACAGAAGGAGATCTTGGCAACTATTCCTCGCAGGTGATTTGCGTAGATGCTACGGAGGTCCGGGAGATGTACCAAGAGGAAATCGGCGCTCATGTCAAGCAGAGTACGCAAGCAGTGTTTTTTTGTCTGTTAACCGATACTGACACCAGTCTAGTTCCGCGAGGGTTATTGCCTAACGCTCTTGTGAACCTGGATATCTTGAACAATGCGTGGAAACTCTCGGCATGACGCCGTCTTCGTATTCATGGGGTAGGTTGACGAAAACAAGTAGTCTTCATAGTGCTCATTTCGTATAGAGCTGCTGGGCTTCGCGTATCAGGCGCAGTGCCGCTGCGACCCTCTGCGGACGCCGCTGTACTTCACACAATTTTGCCAGATTGTCCAAATGCTTGCGAATGTCGGCGAAGCTTCGCCGGAACTCCAGCAGTTGATCCACGACGAGCGCAAACGCCATCGGTACACGTTCGACGACCTCCGCGACTCCATTGCCCTCTTGGGCTTCGGCAAGGACGGTGAGCTTGGCGTCGAGTTCGATGGTGAGATCGACGACAAGTTCATTCTGGACGCATGGCGCAATGCGAGAAGACGAACGTGGGCCGACCCGGTCAAGGGTGGGGAGATGCGGATGAGGCTCAATGACGCACTCAAGATCATTGCCGACGCTAGGAATAGTCAGACTGTCGACTCTGCGTGGAATCAGGAAAAGGGCAGTGTGATGAGCCCGGAGACTGCGTATGCGACGCTGGAAGTACCGAAGGACATGGACGAGACCATGTTGCTCACGATCTACGCAATGCGGGTATGTACGGCTAATTTTAGTGACTGTCTCGCCTGCGGGAAACGACTAAATGTCTGAATAGGTAGAGGACCAACCGAGTCAGATGGATAAGATGAAGGAGGCGCTGTCTGTAATCGCCGAGTTTACGAACAGTGATAGGCTACGGAAGTTCATGGAGACTGGAACGGATCGTAAGTACGCTCCTTCTCTACACGCGCGTCCTTTCTAACGCTGCGTAGCTGGCGACGCAACCCAGAGCAGCAGCCCGGGGATGCCGCGAGGTTTAAACCAGTTGGGCAACACCTGCTATTTGAATTCCTTACTGCAGGTAAGCATACGTTCGTTTTGGCTGAGAACCGAACTTACGCGGTGTGTTCAGTATCTCTACACGATCAGGGACTTGCGCGAAGCTATCACCCCGTTTGCCGACGCGGGCGATGAAAAGATGATAGACGATAGCAAGTTCACTGACGATGACCTCAAACGGCATCGCGTCGGTGGGAGACTAGTCACAAGACGAGAGATATCGCGTTCTAAGAAATGTACGCTTTCGTTCAAATGTCGCCCCTCGCAACTCGCTTACAACGTTGCGTAGTCGTCCGACAATTGGCCAGCCTCTTCTGGAACCTGGAGTACTGCGACATTCCAGCTGTCACTCCGTCTATCGACCTGGCGAAGTTGGCATTGGTGACTTCGCAGGATGAGGAGGAAGACGACATCAGTCGACCCGGAACGGAAGGTTCAAACGACACGGATGCGACACTTGTTGAAGACGTACCGTCGCGATCGGCATACGACCCGCCGTCTCCGTCGCCACTTGCGAGCCCGACTGAAAGTGTACTCGGTAAGAGGCATCGTGGTTCAGATGAAATGGACGTCGATATGCGATCCTCTCCGCACGAAACAGCGAAGGAGAACGACGGCCATTTCACTGCTGTCGCCGAGGCCGTTGCCTCATCGTCCAAGCTGCAGATGGACACCGACGTCGATCAGTCCGACGTGCCGGATCTTCCTGATAACGAGAGTTCTAAGGTACCTCCTCCACTACCCAAGAGACCTCGACCAACCGATGACTCCGTCATGATGTTGGTACGTTTAGTTCCCTGCGTCTTCTAACAAATATTGAATGTTTTATAGGTCGTCAACATGACGTGTCAGAATGTATGGACAACTGCATCTTCCAAATCGAAACGGCATTGCTTGATTCCAGGAGATGGTCGGAGCAGAGGACGACAAGACCAGTATCGTTAAGAGGTACGTTCATTCTGAACCACGCACGACGATCGTTGACGACCTGTATCAGATTGTTCTTCGGAAAAAAGAGGCAGCGACTTACACCTCTATCGAGCACGGACGATATGCGGCACAAGTCTTCCATCCACGAGAAGGAAGACTTATTTTCTCAGCTCCACGTCAACGTCTCAGACGAAGGGTTTGATTTGTACGATGGGCTCGCGCGATATTTTGACGACGTAGTCGAATTTGACGGTGTGAAGAAGCGAATGGAAGTGTCGCTGGTCGATCTTCCTCCGTTACTGCAGATACAACTGCAAGTAAGTAACCTCTCTATCAGAGAAAGAGCACGACTCAAATGGCTCGAGAATAGCGAGTCCAGTTCGACAGGGAGACACAACAGGCGTACAAGTCGCAAGCATACGTGAAGTTCGGAGAAATGCTGTATGTGGACAGGTTCCTTGACAGCGCAGACATGTCCAAGAAAGCGCAGTCGAAAGCCATCCAAGCAGAACTTACTGCGAATCGTGAGCGGATACAGAGGCTAACACAAGACAAAGTAAGGCGTCTGTCCTTTGTCGGCCCTTATTGATACTGAATGTATGATACAACAGCATGCGCCTTTTGCCCCCGCGCTGAGCGCGACTGCCGACTTTTTGGCTACGCCTATGCCAATCCCTGAGGCAACAGAGGATCTCGTCTCCGAGTTACGCAAGGAGCAGGAGTTCGTGACGCAGCGGCTCGATGACGAGCGCAGTAATGCAGCAGGACTGAAGACAAAGATCGAGGATATCTGGAAGGACGACACTACAGCAGCTTACGAACTCACTTCTGTGTTCATCCACCGTGGGTCGTCGCCTTCATGGGGACATTACTTTTTCTATTCTCGCAACCTGCCGGAGAACCCCGATCAATGGTTCAAGTATAATGACTCGGACGTCACCGTTGTATCGAAAGAGGAGGTCCTGGCGGATACGACTGGCTCTACCGCCAATCCATACATGGTCCGTATCGCCCTGTTGCTGTCTGCAGTATGTGCTCATGATGTGCGACAATTTGCAGCTTGTGTTTGCGCGTAAAGACTCGGAGGCTATACGGACAGTACACAGATTCGATCCCGAATTGCTACAGGAAGGTTGACACTGATCGTCCCATCATACTTTGCACTATATATCATCAGGCAGCTACGAAGTTACTGTTACACACTCATGCTCCATATCATTTCGCATGTCCTTTGCTGTATATCACCGTATCCGAGCGCTCCCACTTCGCGTCGAGATGTCTTGTATATAACAAAAGCATGCAGACTGCTATACTTCAACTGATTAGGAACATCTGGGCGCGCTCGCAGACAACGCGGTGCCTCGTCTACCTCGTTCGATCGCAGAGGGTTTACTTAGTCAGGCCCAGCCATTCAGTATGAAATAACGCTGTACAAACGTGGACAATCCACCCGTACGGTGCGACTATGGCTGTCCTCGGCAATGTTCGCATTCCAAGGATGGTTCGCAAGCTGCCAAGGGTGTATTGAAGAGCACATGTAGTACGTAGATACTTCGTTTATGCAAGGCGCCACGCGGTGTCTGCTTGGAAAGGGCGTTATGCAATGGCAGACTGCTTTACGAGCTCGATCAGCGCTCTGTTCGCAGACAGTCTCAGTGTCATTCGTCATGATGGATGCATCAATGTACCCACCTTGTTGGTCGGCCCGTGAGGCCTTTTCCTTGGTAGTCGTTTCCTCGGGCACTCTGTCACGAACTAGTATTAGTTTCAGCGCCGGTTCTACGACGTAGTACTCACCTCCATCGTGCCGGCAATATCCAAATGCGCCCACCGCACTCCTGGCTCGCTGTCACTCTCTTCCGACGACTCGACACCTGCGACGAAGGACTTCAGGAATAGTGCAGCCGTGCAGCTACCTGCGGATCGTCCTCCGATCTGCAGATATCGAGGATCGATCAGTGATGCAGGTCATTCAAGCGTGGCTGCTGCGTGCCAGGGTGGATACGAGTATACTCACATTGCACAAGTCGGCGTTCGAGCTAGTGATCTGCGGCGCGTAGGCATCCGAGAGAGGCATCCGCCAGAAGAGGTCATGTTCTACCTTTCCCGCTTTCTCGAGGTCTTGCCATAACGTGTCGGAGTTCTATGGTTTTGCACGCAGACACCACGACAAGGATCAGCTTTACAAAGCGACACATAAACACGGCGCGTGCGTACCGTGAAAACCCCCGTATAGACCTCACCAAGCGCAATCATCATTGCCCTGTCCGCCAAAGCATCGTGAGTGCAGAAATGTAGTATGTAAGCATCCTGACTCACCCAGTGAGCGTTGCAACGTCTACAACTGAATGCGGCTGGTATGTTGACGTGCCATAGTACAATGCGTCTGAAATCGTTTTCAGCTGTAAACGGTACATAAGGCCACACGGAACGCACCCGCGAGGACTAGCCTGCCTTCCGCATCCGTGTTGTCGATCTGGATGGATTTCCCATTCATTGCATATACACTGTGAGGCACCTACGTTCAACACATGCCATAGACGACATTCATCGGAGACATACATATCGCCAGGTTTGTTTGCACCCGGACCAGGCATATTCTCCGTGAGAGGGCAGAGAACAACCAGGTTGACTCTTCCGCTCAGTGTTAGCAGGTTCAATTGCCATTAGGAGAAGCTGTGGACATACGGAAGCTTAAGCTGAGCAACAGCAAGCGCGGCAGAACAAACCGCAGCCGCCCCGCCTGCGTCGTCAGCATCTTAGTGCCTATGCGCACGGATCGACTCCCATTGGCTTACCCATGTCTCCGCGCATGAGCTCCATGCCCTATAAGACGATGTCAATTGCGAAGCTATAGAGACAAATATTTGAAGCAGCACGTACGCCAGCTGGCTTTATTGATATTCCTCCTGTGTCGAAGGTCACACCCTTCCCGACGAACAACAGCGGCTGCACATCGCTTGCGGCGCCCCTGTAATGGCTTGGAATAGATTAAACATTACACCAGCTATGTGTAAGACATTAAATAGGTATACCTACATCTCAAGGAACTTGCACGGTTCCGACGAACCTTTTGCGACCGACAGGAATGTACGCTAGTAGCGCAGCAGCATTCCAGGTAGCCACAGGCCGTCAAACATTTAGATCATCGTTGTGCGATGTTTCGAAGCACTACTTACCATGCCCTTCTCAGCAGCCCACTCTGCCGTGGTTCAGTCAAGAGGTTATGAGGAGACATGGGACAGCTCAAACCTTGATCGCGTGCAAATATGTCGACGTTCGGAAGACCCGCGAATTCGGCCTGCACGCGTTCCGTAAAAGCCTGCAATAACATCGTTAATCAGATGGCGAGTACTCAGAAGCCACGGTCCGCGCTACAACGGAGGCCGCGTTACGTCTGTACGATACAGAAGTTGCGCGGACTCCTGCCCCACTGCACGGTCAAAGGAAATATATTCCGAGCTCGTGGCGTGAAGATTCCGAAACAGCGTACGACATCCGAGATTGAGCTGACCATCGACAGCATGCACGGCATGCTCGGCGGAATGGTCAAACTCAAGGAGAGCGCATTATCCTGGGTAGGTATGATGGGAATAGACGGGAAACTCACCGTAGGTGTCATCATGTTGCCCGGCAGCTCGGATAACTAACCAGAAATGAGCCAAGCTTAGCATGGCTTTCGATAGTCAAGAGATCTGCTACGTACCGTCCTTGCAAGGTTCTGAGCACGCGCGTACACGACACCGTCGCTCCATGCCTTCGCATCGCTCTCCGAGAGTGACCGAAGCTCCAGTCTCTCTGGTAGAGAACCGGTATTGCGCGGATCGAAGTGCGATTGAGGTTTCGTCTTGAGTGTAAAGTCATAGAGAGCCAGATTGGCGGCAACGGCTGCGTTCAGTCGTCACTGTGAGTCAGCAGGCTGGACGTAAGTGAAGGAGCTAACCGGCAGCATGTGGGTCCGCACTCGCATCGACGAGTACCGTCTCCCCGTCTACTCCATCACCGAGTGCCTTGACAGCCTTGATGGCACTCCCGACTGCCCGTCGAACGACCTCCCTTTTCTGCTCGTCGGACTTGGACGTCCACTTGTCTCCAAGGCTGGTCAGCGCCGTGATATCTTTGCCCTTCCCGCCATTCGGAGTGTCGTAGAAGATGCGGGTAGTCCCTGCCTTGGCGGCCTTCTTGTCTTTCGGAGCGGGTGCAGAGTTCCAGAGCGCTGCAGCATCGACGTCAGTGACGGGAGAGGAAGGAGACTGAGGATCGACAGGAAGGATGTAGACGGCTGAGCGGGAACGAGTAGTGGAAAGGGTACGTCGAGGTAGGTTAGACGAGCGTGCGAGGAGGTGGGTACCGCGACGAGCGAGCATGACAGCGTAGAGCGAGTAGGACAATATGATCTCACGCGTCGACGCGACAATCTGGGCCCCCGACGCGCGTGACCGTGTGTCCAACCATCTTGTCGCCGACTTCAAGTTGCGACCTAATTTCGAGGCTCTTGCTCAGAGGTACTGAGGTATGTATATTCATAGACAGTACTACTACATTATGCGTACTAGCGGTAGCGCGTGTCCTATAGTATTCCATTGCTATCCTGTACCGTATCTCAATGCTAAAAGTGACTGAATGCGCCGACCTCTAGGGCTATCCTACAAGTTCCAATAAATGCGTCGAGTTCCCTGTTGCAGCGTAACGTTTAGGTATGCATATTAGTTTTCCTTCCCGATCTTGTCCGTTGGCGTATTTTCCATGAAGGTCCTCGCCTCCGCAGGGATACCGATCCCGTGGATATGGTACTGCTCGCCGACGAGCTCCTTCGCGGCCACCATCAGCTTGTCGAGGCGGAGGATGATACCGAACGCGGTGGTCACACCGACCGCAAACGATCTATCCATGAACGTAAGCAAACCTCTCATCCACGATGAAGAAGGGGGCCACGACTCACAGATACTGCTCGTTTTCCAAAGTATCGATCGTCATAGTCCGCGGCAAGCCGTAGTCATCGTCCGCTTCTTGCCGGATGATGTTCAGACCGTGCGTGTAGACCATGAAGCGGTCAACGAGGGGGCACGGCGTAACTTGCGGCAGAGGCGTTCCGGTACGAAGTGCAGTCGATATCATGCCTAACACATGAGAAGTAAGTGCCCACACCACAAACAGTGTTATTATACTCACAGATCACAGCAAGTACGTCTCCTTGAAAATCCGCATCGAGCAGACGAGTACGTCGGAGGAAAGCGCGTGACCACGCCGGATCGAGGTGTTCGACGACGGACATCAGATGCGAAAGTAAAAAAGCAATCTGCCTACGTTACCAGTCAGTTAGATAAAGGAACACAACGACAGATGCGTGTCGTCTACTCACATTTGCAGCTCCAAGATACGCTGGTACCGTTGCGCTGGCCACTTGCCTCGCAGAGAGAACTAGACGTGACGTCGGCATTGAATCTTCAGGAAAACAGACAATGAATCAAAGTCGTACCTCGTAGATAATGTTCGTCTTCAGCACCACTGACCGCTTGAGCTTCATGCGAATAGCGATCAGCGCCTGCACGATCTCGCCGCGATTGACTTCATGCCGTCCTCTCGTGTTCGCAAAACTGACGATTGAGCAGTAGATACTCCCCAGCTCCGCCGTGGTCGTGCTCAGCATCGTCCGCTGGTACTTGCGCAGCGTCGTACTCGGCGGGAGCAAACTGAAGATGAACGCGGCCGTGACGCCCGCGCAGACGATCACGAACCGCCGCCACGCGAGTGCCCAGCCGTAGAAGTGAAAGATCGCAGCGAAGTGCGCATTCTGCCACGAGAAACCGAGCACCAGGCAGGCTGTGACGAAGAAGATGATGTTGCTCATCGGCGGACCCGGCCAGTAGAGTCGTCCGTAGTAGAAGAACGGCATGCAGAAAGCGACGGCGGCGGTGTAACCATAGGCGTTGCCGATCCCCTTTTGCGCGGCGATGTACCAGACTACCATACCCGTGACGCCGCCGAGAAACGTACAAAGAAGACGGGCGAATAGCGCGAACGTCGTGTCGCCTCTGAATCGTGCTAGAGTTAGCTGTCCCATGAAAATGCCCCAGACGAACCGCTCCTCGTACGCGAAGTGGGCCGTGTGTTTGAGGAAGTTCGGGATGCACAGGAGGACGGTGAGCGTGCCCGCCTTCAGCGCGAAGAGCATGTTGCCGCCAGTGAGCCCCATCAGTAGAGTGTGGAACCAGGACATGATGTGCTCCAAGGGAGTGTGCGGCGGGAGCGCGTCGGGATCTCTGCGAGATGGCTGGCCGAGATCCTCGTCCCAGTCTGTTTGCATACCGGGTATTGCGTCTAGAAACCGAATAGATACGCGTGTCAGTATGGAGGAACCATATCACTCCTTCGAGGTACATTACCTGGATCCTCGTCGTCGTTACCCTCCAGTTCGACCGTCGCGTCGTACTGGCTCCCACCCCACGACAAGAAACTTTCTTGACGTTCACTGGCATGAACGGCCCCCATAGACGCGGCCTTTTCTTGTTCTCCTCGAGAGACATGATCGCGTCGATCTTTAGAAATACCAATCAGCAATGCACGGACCCGGAGCTCAATGAGTGACGCACCATTTCGATAACCACCGTGGTGAACTGGATAAGGTGGTATTGATACACATAGCAATGGAAGAGGTATCGATGTGGCGGTGGCTCGGACGTCGCGTCCACACCAGGCGAACCGACATGGCTGGGATCGAACGCCGACCGGTACGGATCGAGCACCTTGTGCCTACGCATGGGCCGCTCGTCAGTAACACGGGCGAGTCTCTTCAGCATCCCGACGCACCTATACTCCTTCCTAAACCTACTCAACGCGCTGTCCACCTTATACCTCACATCCGCCATCCTCCCCACCCTCTCCGCCCTCCTCTGCTCTGCACTGCTCTTCCCCTCGAACCACCCGCTCCGCGCGCCAGCGACCCACCCCCTCGCCTCGCCCACCGCATCCGCGCACACGCCCAGCAGCTCGTCGCAGCCGAGGCCGAGCAGGTAGACGAAAGTCTCCGTCGCCTCGGGGCTGTCCGGGTGGCTCAGCCGCGTTGCCTCAAGCGCGAGGTACCGCTGGCTCTCGAACACCGCCACAGCCGTCTCGCCGACGGGCGTAGTCGCAGACGGCACAGATAGGTTGTGAGCGAGGTGGAGGAGGGAGAAATGCAGCCGTTCGTTCTGGCTTTCTTCTTCGTGCTCGGGCTTGCGCAGGCGGAGGTGGAGGTGCCGGCTGATGGTCAGCCGAAGAGAGGACATCGACCCATTTGGGTTTGTCTTCGACCGGCCGTTGCGGTGTCGAAGCCGTCCGCGTTCCTTCGAATCAGCCGCACCGAGGGCGGGACTCTCGGGACGAGAAGGCGGCGGGCTGCGACCCCAGCCCGCGGAGTCCGGGTCTGATCGTGGACCGGGCGAGTTGGGCCCAAGCACGGGGCTACCGGGGTGCGTGAACGAATGTTGGCGGGACATGACTGGCGTCATGGAGGGTGTGCTCGGTCTGCTAGGAAGAGGCGTGACGGGGAAGCGTTCGCGCGTCGGTTCGATGAGCGTGAAGAAGATACCTAGACCGTTCGCGCGCACGACGAGACGTCGCCCGAACTCCTGCATGCGCCCGATATCCGCCGGAGCGAACCGTCCCCAGACGATGTCGTTCTTGACGAGGCGCAGAGCGGCCGCCGCAGGACCGAGTCCGCCCTCCGCCTTGGTGACGAGGCCGCCGATCTTCTGTACGGCAGCGGGAAACTCGGAGCCGGAGGGGGCGAGTTTCAGTACGGCGCGGTGTTCACGAAGTGCAGCTTCGAGTGGCTCTATCGTGCGCGCAAGGGCAGCCGCGTACTGCGCTGTGATAGTGCTCGGGAAGATTGTTGCGCTCGCCACGACACAGAGGCCTGCATGGAGCACGAGGGGGAGGACAATCGTCTGACTGATCGTGTAATAGGGATACGGAAAGAGGACAGCTGTAACGAAAGAGATGTCGATGGTGATGGCACCAAAGACGGATGGAACGAGGTAAGGGCCGGGACCCTTCTTGACCTTGATGAAGAGGAAGAAGGTGACGCCGAAGAATACCCATACGGCGCAGATAACCGTCGGTCCCGCCTCGATGTACTGTCCGGAGAGCACATCCGTCAGGGTAGCGTTATAGTCAGTATGGCCGCGGGCGAGGTGAGCAAAGAAGATTCCTAGAGCGGACCATCTGTGAAGGCATAAGCGGGGAGGTGTGGGTGAAGAGAGAGAGACTTACGCCCAACCGATGGTGACGAAGAGAGCGAGTATGAGTTCGCGCTCGAGGACGGAGATAAGAGGATCGCTGGGTGGGTCGAGGAACGCGGCTGGTCTTGAAATGAGAGATGGGTTAGACATGAGAAGATTGCGGCGTACCAATGAGTAGGAGGAATGTGGCCTGAAACGGAAGGCTCGTCAGCCTATACATGGATTGGATACAGCGGACTCACCTGGCCGGTGACACCCTCGACAGAGCTTAGGACCATGAAGATGATTGAAATGAAGGCCATGATGGAGCTACGGATGACGGGCTTGATCTTGGGCCAGGAGAAGTTTGCGGGGATCCAGGCGAGGTCGAGGGGGAAGTACTTGACAGCAGTCTTGAGAAGCGTGTTCATGAAGTGCCCGAAAGACTGGGTTTCGTGCTGCTGAGGCTGCTTTTCGGTCTCGGTGGGCGAGGATCTACCCTGCGAGCCTGCCGGGCCCCAGGAGGGTGTCTCAATCCGGACATGGCGGAGGGGCGGGGTGTCGTGGGGGCCGTGGTAGGAGCCATAAGCGGTCTGGTCTTCATCTTCATCGCCGAGGCGGGGGTCGTAACGGAGGTTCTGCCTCCAGCTGATGTCGATGACGTCGGCATATTGAGAAAGGGGAGGTAGAGACGGCGGGGACATCGCAGGAGAAGGAGGGACTCACGTACGGACTAGGGGCACGCCCTCCGAGTCGCCAGACCCGGTCGACGGTGGGTCGGGCACAACACGCGCTGACTCTGCAAAGTGAACGTGCTCGTGCGGGGGAGTGTCGTCGTCGGCGCGTGCGTGACGGTCGTCCGGGGCGTCGGGCGAGGGGGCGTGCTCGGGCGCGAGACCCTCGGGGGCGGCCTGGGTTGTTATATGGGCGTCGGGCATGGCGAGCAGAGGCGATGACAAACGCGCAGAGACCGGGGTGCGCTGTGCGCTTCGATGTACTGCGGCCAGGAGCGGCCGACGATGAGTGCGAAGGACGACCCGGCCGTCATCCAACGCGCTCGACCCGTGAATAGCACCGGCGCCTCCCCGCGTCGATCGACGCGTCCCCGCGTCTCCTCACGTGTCTCCTCTCCTCGCCGCCGTCCCCGATGTCGGACGACCCCAGCCCGCCCCACGCCCCCGCAGAGCCGTCCCCGCCGCCACCCCCGCCCGCTGCGCTGGGCTCGCCGACCGACTTCCTCAAGGGCGTCGTCGGCAAACGCGTCGTAGTCCGTCTCACGTCTGGCGTCGACTACCGCGGTACGTCCCATCCATTCGTCCGCCGCAAATCCGCGTCCGCTGACCATTCGCACAGGCGTTCTCTCGTGCCTGGGTGGGTACATGAACATCGCCCTCGAGCAGACCGAGGAACACGTTGCCGGCATCCTCACCAATCGCTATGGAGATGCGTTCATCCGCGGCAACAACGGTATGTCCTCTCATTCGCACTCGGTCTCTTTGAACCCGCTCACGTCTACTCGACCTCGCAGTACTGTACATCTCGGCCTCTGAGCCGCTCTGATCTGAAAATGCAATGTCATCATCGTCGAGGGACGCGACGCGCCTACCACCCTTGCCATTTCCGTTGCGTCTGAGCGAGACGGAACACTCAGGCTGTGGACTCTATTGGTCAAGTACTCGCCCTGTAACGGTAACGAATTCAACATAGATTGAGATACTGAACCTTTCATGGTGACCCTCCATCATCATCAAACCCGGAGTCGCTGATGCTGCCGCAGCCCGTCATTCTGTCAGTTACAATGACATGCCACGAGCTGACCGCAGTGCTGCCTCGGGGCTATCTTCAACCTATCCGCGCTCAACTCGTGTAGATCGCCGCCTTCTGACTCGTGTCCGGCGATCTTCTATGTCAGTCTCGACGTGCTGACGCCACGACGTGCCGTTGTGGCACCCGGGATGAATCTGATATACTTTCGAAGTGAGTACATCATTCTGTTTGTTAGTCATCCATTGGCTCAGGCAAGGCTGCCAAGGAGGTAGCGACGACGGGGCTGCTCGTTGTGAGTCAGACAGCATGAGCATTGAAGCTAAGGCTCGCGGAGGTGAACAGTTGGCTACTACGAGAACGAGGCGCGGCGGTTGTGCACGTTTGCGAGCGACAATCCTAAAGAATGATTGACGGTCTGACTACCTCAAACTAGTATTGATCAGGAGAGTCCGACACGTCAAGGCTCCGACGGGAGGTCCCACCAACACGGGCGACCCACGTTCTGGGCGTCAGCAAGCCCAACGAGCAAGCCGTCCCGACGCGTGCAAGCACAAGCGGCGTAGACGAGGCCCCGCTAGCCAGGCGGACGAACAGCGCATCCCGCACCTCGCAGGACGCGTCGACGCGTGCTTCAAGACACCCTGAGGATGCCCCGACTAGCGCAAGGTCGGGACACGGCGAGGAGAGGAGCACGGAGATTGGCAGAGAGGAGAGGAGAGTCTGCACGACTCCGGTGAGTATCACAGTCCCTCACCCCCCACCATCTACTCCCTGGCCTCCTAGCTACGCGCCACCGAACTCGTCCTCTCCACGACCACAACCTGCGCACCCGTCCATCGCCTCCCTGTTCTCGTTCGATGCGCCCACCGCCTCGCCACCCGTTCACTCGCTTGCCCGGTCACGTCCTCGCGCCTGATCCCTCCACCCGCACTCGGGACCATCTGCGCGCTAGCAGGGCGTGACCTCTCAGCCCCACCGTCTCTCCGATCATCCACGTTCACGTCGCCCTCCTCGCGCCCTGGCCACGCGACTTCCATCACCACCACTCGAACGGATGGCCTACAAGCGGCAGACCGAGCTGCACGGAATCGTTGCGTGCTCGTTAGCCCGCCCGGCCTCAATGACTCAGATTTCGAGGTCGAACGGCTACGCGACGTCAAGCTTGTCGCGCCGAGTGTGCGTGCGCACCCAGCCAAGCACCCGGAGGATACCTCGCCCGTTTCCAGGACGGAACCACGAAGGCTCGCACGGGAAGTCTGTGGACGCGATTCTGACGGATGGAGAGGGTAGCCGGACAGAGGCTCGAGCCGTAGGTTCGACACAAGCCCCTCACGTGTGAGGGGCTTGACGCAAAGTCCGGGGTCTTGTAGGGTTCTGGGGGGTGGCGCGGCATAACAATCTTTTCTTATCTCCATACAAAATGTTGAACAAGGAGTGGTGTGGCGTAGCTGAAGGCAAGACTACAAAGAAGCAAACAATGGACTGTAAGAATAGAGGACTTACAACAGATCTCAAGACTACTGAGGGGAAGGCTCAGGAGGCGTAGAATGAGAGGAGAGATCGTTACATTACAGGGGCATCCAGCCCAGTATATATACACATGAGAGAGCCATCACATGATCGTACAGTAAGCGTAGTAGCATGACATCGTAATGGTGCAATGAGTAATGATGCGATGATTGCACCATGGATAGAACATACTGGAAAGGACTGGACAGGACCGGAAGGGAATCTGGACAGTCCTAGAACATGATATCATAGTGATGTCATAGTGATGTCATCAAGGAACGTGCTGGAACATCCTGGAAAGTACTGGAAGGTAGTGGAATGTTCCGTACAAGTCTAGAACAGATCATGTGCTACAGGTCTGGATCAAGTCCGTAAAAAATGTATGTAATATGTAGCAACGAAGAACATAAGTCCATAACGGGTAAAGGATAAGTCCTATCCCGTAGTGTAACACCCAAAATAGTCGAAGTTCAACACTCCCACTTGTTCAAGATGCTACAAGCATGCCAGAAGACGACCTGAACTTCTCAATTGCATTGAGAGGAACATTCTTCGTCAAGCAGTCAGCAAGCTGGTCTTCGCTAGCGACGTAGTAGATCTCAGTTTCACCACGCTCGTAGAACTCGCGTATATAGTGATACCTGATCTCTATATGCTTGGTTCGGCGGTCCACAACAGGATTCACCGATAGGAATATGCTTCCGTGGTTGTCTAAACAAAGAGGAGTGGGACTGGACATGTTGTCTCCAAGCTCCTCGCCGAAATGACGAAGCCAAGCCATCTGACGACAAGTGTCTGAGGCGGCCTTGTATTCTGCTTCAGTTGAAGACAGAGAAACAGTCGGCTGACGTCTCGACGCCCACGAAATGACACAATTGGCCATCATGAAGATGAAACCGCTTGTTGAATGCCTATCATCGCGGTCTTCGGCCCAATCTGAGTCTGAGTAGGCAATCAGACCAGAGTTACTGCCGCCATCATAACAGAGCGCAAAACTCTTAGTTCCTTGCAAGTAGCGCAGAACGTAGAATGCCAAACGCATATGCTCTTTAGATGGGTTGGACGAAAACTTGGCCAATCGCGTGACCACAAAAGCGATATCAGGCCTAGTACCTAGCATGGCATACATGATACTGCCAATAATGCTCTGATACTTCGTCCTAAACTCTTCGGTAGCAGTCTCAGTACTGCTCAGCAAGTTTGCACCTGCTGGCAACGGTGTTCGAGCTACTTTGCAGTTGCTCATTCCAAAACGCTCTAGGACAGTCTCAACATAGTCTTCCTGGTCAACGAAGAGCCTGCGTGTAGAACGCTCTCGACGTATTCTAAGACCTAGGAAACGTTGGACTTCTCCCAAATCCGTCATCTGGTATTCACTTGACAAGCGCTCTTTGACCGAATCAATGAAGGGCTTAGAGTTACCCAAGAGCAACAAGTCGTCGACATATAAGATGACGACACAGGTGTGATCTCCAGACTCACGGGTATAAACGTATACACCAGCATCCGAATATGTGCGCATTATAGTGACTATCGGTAAACATGGCAGGCTTAGGGTGGGGTTATGGTGCCCAATATAGTAATTACTATATATGGTCATAACCATATAAGGAAAGTGTTGACATTTCTCCCCTGTGTGTATGGTGCATGTGCACAAAAACATGCCTCCAAGGTGATCGCGCGCGACCGCGCGCGATCACCTAAACCCTATACTGGAGGTGTCTTGACAAGGTACCCTCAAGGTGATCGCGCGCGATCACCTAAACACTACTATTGTGTACCCGGTATACATACCATTTAGGTGATCGTGCGCGATCGCGCGCGATCACCTTGACACACCTATATCGGCGTCTATTTAAGTGGACCTGTACTGCACATGTCAGTTCAAATTGTGCCATTTAGGTGATCGCGCGCGACCACGCGCGATCACCTTGAGAGCGGTGTTTGGACATGACTGACCGGGGTGCGTGCACATATGATGGTCAAGGTGATCGCGCGCGATCACCTAAATGGTATGTAGACCAGCGTCTATTCTCTCAACGTGCAACATGTATGTCCACTCAAGACATGCCATTTAGGTGATCGCGCGCGATAGCGCGCTGTGT